CACATCCACTGAGATAAAAGGTCTTGTTCATTGTCAGGAAATGTGATTAGTCTGATACGCTCTTTTTTAGACTCAATCAAAGAAAAATCTTCTATTAATACTGATAGATAACATTTTGCTAAAGCTGTATAATTAAAGAGTAAGCATTCTGGATAATTCATTTCCCCTGTCGTATTTTTATTTGCTTCTATTTATCGCATTTAATTTTATTCTGCATTTTATTTATCGCATTTAATTAATATTTAAATCGGAATCGGAATTTGATATGGGTACTGAGAAAAAAAAGTACTTTGTCTTTATTAACAACTCAACATTCTTTAAAAAAGAACATCCAAGCATTTGTTTAGAATTAAAATAAAACAAGTAACCAAAAGGTTTCAGATAATTTCAGGCATTTAATTTTAAATAAATTTTTAAACCAAACAATAAAATCATCGTCTTATTACAGTTAGTTTATTGCTTAGTTAAGCCAAAGAACTTATACGCACTTATGCGCATATATAGAACTTATACGCACACTTATACAATCTTTGCTTAAGCCAAAGATTGGTTAAGCTTAGTAGCTTAGTTGCGTGCTGTGTACAGTAAGATAAATAAAAATCGTCGCTATTTTCCCACATTCTGAAAAAAATAAAAAAATCCGTCATTTCTTCACGTGTTTCTTCACATGCACAATTATCATTCATCTCTTCAATGATAATCGTGAATTTTAAACGTCTAGTTTGTAGCAGCACAGAAAGACAAATGCTTTCTTTTTAGGGTATTAAATGCTTTATTGTAATAAATATTACGCAATTTTGTCACAATATGACAACATATTTCAGCAAATAAGAAATTAAACAGGTGATTAAAAAATTATTGCAACGATTGTGAAACGCTTTTATATAAAAGATGCAACACATAGTTCTATTTGTTCAGCTTTTTAACTTCTATTAATAATTTTTGTTTATTTCAGTTCAGAATTCAATAATAAACTAAACGCGTTTGATTGCAAGTTGAAACATGTATCACTTTTCATTTTACCGTAAAAATGTTTCATCTTGTTTTATCAACTGTTCTTTTATGTAAGGGTGTCATGCTTTTTGACCAACAATCACAAATTTCGATTTATTTACACCAATTTATTTAAATTTATATTAATTATTATACAAAATAATATTCAGATACTACAAATTTCAGAGCATTTTTCATTTTTGTTTCAACTGCATTAGAAATATATTTAGGATTTTTCAAAAAACTTTTTATGCTCCTCGTTAACAATGCTATTATTTCTTTTATTTTAGTAAATTAGGGGCATTCGTATTTGAGGCTGAAAATAATCCCATTTCAAGAAATAAGGGTGAAGAGGGTTGTCCCATATTGATGGTGGACCTTGAGATTACCATAATTGGATAGCAAGCATGTTTTATTTTCTTTTGAAAAAAAAATTTTACGAAGTTGGCGATCAAAGAAAAAAAATTTATTATTCAATAAATCAATTTCTTTTACGAGTTATAAATTTCATTTTAAATGGATAATTTAGCTATTGTTAATAACCAACGGTGGTTATTATAACAATACCCTATAAGAGCATATTAGGAAAGCCCTATAAGAGCATAAAAAAAAGAAGAAGAAAAAGTGAAAAAACCATCACCATCATTGTAGGGAATAACAAGCAATGGCGTATTTCCCATGTTAATGTAATTTTATGTTTAACCTTGAAAAACACTAATGTCGAAACTACCGGACAAATGTTAATCAAACAGTGGCATCTGACCATCGAAAAACATCTGTATAGAGGAAGCGAACAAGCGTACACACGTTCCAACCTTGTTGTTATTCCGATTAGTCGAATTATTATTAATAATATTATTAATACTATTAAAAGATAAATTAATATTTAAAAAGAAATTTTAAGCTGTGCTATGTTTAATGTAAAGTAAAGCATTCCCGTAATACCCCATTGAGGGCCAGAGGAGGTCTTGGAGATTAAGGCTCCACAATTTTGAAATCAGCAGCATGATAATAGTAATGTAGTCGACATTGCGCACAGGTCAATTTTTCTTACCAGAGAAGCTGGAATTCATCGATCTGAAGCTTGACTATTCGGTGTATTGATAATACCTTTTATAATTATAATTTATTCATAATTATAATTCATTTATAGTCATCATTTATTGATAGTTATGCCTTATTTATAAGGATAATTTATTTATAATTACAATTTAATTATTTATTGCAATTCATTTATGATCATAATTTAATCTTTTATAAGACAATTTTTCTAGCAATTTTATGTTAAAATATTTTTAGGATTGAGATTGACTTATCAGAAAAAATTCATCGATTTGGTATTTTTTGGTATTTTTCTTTGGTGGGGGGGGATTTCTAAAATTTTACTTGCATTCTATGCTTATAAACAATTGAATTTACAGATTCCATGTTTGAAATTACACATAAATTCGATGAGATATAACGAACGCATGAAGCATAAGAGAAAATAGCTTCACAGTATTGCTTCTTTTCATGACCTCATGCTAACCTTCATTGTTACCCATACTTATGTAAACAAATAACATTAGCATAGTTTTATTTATTTTTTAATATTTTCATTTTTTATTTTCCGAAGTTTAAAGCAGGTGACCGCACAAATCATAAAAGGGAGAGAGGAAATAGCTTTTTATCGACTTTTAAAAAATAATGAATTTGCGGAACGTATACTTCACACGGCCCTCTAAAGCGTTAACCATATAACTCAACTTTGACTTTAATAGGTTGATATTTTGATATTTAGTTCATACAAGGTTTTGAAAATTCGCTGGTATATAAAAAATAAATACTGAAACAATTTAAATTGATAGGTACCAAATGGGCTGGGAAGTAAGATGTCGTGAGATCGAAAAAACAGCGTGTTTCTTGAAAGTAAAGCCTTTACGTTGTTCTTTCAATTGCTCAGCAGCAAAGGTATTCGGTCTGCAGTGTTGACTACAATACCACCATCATGCCATTGGTCACGAAATTGGGGAGCCTTAACCTCAATGGCCCCTTGACCCACAATGTGCTATTGCTGGACTGCTTTAATTTTTTATTAATAAAGAATAAGTACTATCTGGCAAGCACAAGATGAGCTCCAAGTGAACACAGGAGATCTTGTGATAGCCAAACAATAGAATGCGTATTAAATATCTACTAATTTTTTTTAAAATTATTTTCATGAAAGATTATCCATCGATTCATGAGTTTACTATGCCTGCCTTACGATATAAATGTAATTACTAATTTACATAAAAGAAAAACATACAATTTCCTTCGTCACGCAAAATACAGATTATCATTTCATACAAAATTATTTTTTAAATGTCATTTAAAATATTGAAAATAAATACTTAAAATATAATTTAATTAAGTGTAAGTTAAATTGCTGATGTAAGAAATTCCTCATACAATTAAAATTAAAATGAATTGAAATGTTCACCCAATTGATTCTGATATCCAAATAATGTTGGTTAAAGCATATAAATTAAATAAAACATATATAGTTTTTTATAGTATTTCTTTCAAAACTTCCTTACTACACAAACCGATTCAAAAACATTTTTCCAATGTCATTGGCTACATAATTCCCCAAAATTAAAATATTCCTCAGGAAAAAAAATTTATAAAGTAATAATTTATTTTCAAAAATAATTTTTCATACTTACTGAAATAAAATTTAAAGAGTATTTTTCTGTATTATTTTTTAAATAAAGATACGTTATCATTCAAGAATGAAGTTAAATTCATTTCAAACTTCACACATTTTTAGATTGAAGTATTTAAAAATTGTTCTCCTATATTTAAATAATTATGATTCTCATTAAATTTAATGAAATTTGGCAAAAAATTAACAAAAAATAATATTATAACAAATTTAAAAAATTTTCAAAAAAATGAAACATTTTCTCATATGTTTTATTATACTAAGCAATTTAGTTTGATGCATTGTAACAATTAATAATTTAGTCAATTAGTTTACTAAGCAGTTAAATACTTACTAATTTTAAATGACGCTTTCTTAAATATTACTAATAAGAATTTTAAAGAGAACGTTGCATAACCTTATGATTGATATAAGTTATAAATTATTATCACGCTATATATAATGTTTATCATTATCATACTTATCAAATTCGTAAATGTTTTAGATATGTCATACGAACTCCTCCAAAATAAATTCCTAGCAAAGGCTCTAAGTCTGGCTTTTCTTCCGTAAAAATATTTTTTTTTCTTCAATTTTAAGAAGAATTATCATCAAATTACATAAAATATTCTACGCCCTGAGTAAATGGTACGTAGCACATAATATTACTGATTTTTTTTTTAATGGAATATAAATATTTGCAATTAAAATAATGGTATCATACACAGCATTAATTAAGTGTGGAATATGTAAAATATTCCCGATAAAATTAAATTTATCCTCAAACAGTTGTTTAATTTCATTAAATAGTCTCAAATCTTATACAATGCATGGCATAATTTTCTACCAATAACCCTTAAATTATGTAAGATTTACAGTAACCTTTAGAAATGATGCAATACATGTTTTAGTTTCACCTGCTTCACTCTTTGTCGCTTTATTTATTTTAAAAACATTTAATTAAAAAAAAGAAAAACATCGTGCTTCAAGGATATATTTTTCCCGCATTCTTGTTATACTAGAATAAAAACCGAAACTAGATAACCTTGAACAACATCAAGTTAACAATAGTATTCTATAAAAGGTGCATGTTTAGAAAATTCCAAAAAAAAAATAAAATAAATGCACATATAACAATTTATCTATGGAGAAGCAAAATGTCGTTTACCCGAAAGAAATTATGGATAATATCCACTTCAAAATTGCGGAATAAAAAGAAAAGAAGGAAAAAAAAATCTTTCGTTCACAGAAAATCCTGATGCTTCGACCAATGACATATAACCTCCAGCATCCCCTGTGAATTACCTAGCCAATCGCGGAAGACTTTTGGGGCTGTTGGATGATGCAAGAGCGGAGTGATTGTTGTGAGACTATAAAAGAATGATGGAAATGTTTTTTGCATTGGATTTATATTTTGTGCTTATACTCAGTATACACATGTCAGTTTGGTGTGCTTCCAGAATGATATCAAAAAGGATACCCGATTTCTCTAAAGTGATGCCACATCGCATACATATATCGTGAGTTCATTTAAATTTTCTATTGCAATTTCTTAATGAATTAAATTTAAATTTGCTAAAAATTTTGTTTGCATACTTTTTTCCAGCATTTTATTTTGTCATCGAAAATGCTCTTTCATAATATTTCTGTTATTAATGAATTTATTCGACTTTTTTAAATTTATCGCACAATTTATGCATTACTAATATCTAATTTAAAATTTTTTTAAATAAGTTTGCTTTTTCAATATATTTAATATTTCATTTTTTAATTCATTGATTATTTATTTATTCAATTGAGAAAAAAAACAATTTATGCGAGTTTTATTTTATTGACTTTTTAACTAAATTCTAAATAAGATTTTTAGTTTTTTTAATAGTTTAACTTTGAAAAATATTTTAGCAGATCATGCTTCCGAATTCTCTTGCAAGACCAGCCAAGAATTTTTTTAAAATTATATTTGTGCATTATTTACTCTATTAAACGTTTCGTTTTAATTGTATTTCGTTTTAATTGTAATAAGAGTCTTAACCATAAAGTGATCGACATTATTTCATTAACGAATTACTTTTAAATTGCTTATTTTAATACTGATTGAAAAATTGTTTCTCCAACAAATGTTTTAGTAGTTTGATATGCATAGTTTTAAATGTTGATACTGTAACAAAATATAACATGAAAAAAATTAAAGCTTATTTATTTAATGCTTTTCATAAAGTCTTAACGAAATAAATATTATTACATTAATTATAAAATAGTTTTTTTATTAATCGCTCTTTCTTGCAATTTCAATATTAGCGCAAATTTGATAAATAATTTATAAATACTAAGTTTAGAAGAGAAAAAAATTATGATCAATTTTATTTTTGCTGTTCATATTTTGATAATCATAAGCTATTATTAGATTAATAGCAAAAGTAATCTTACTATAGATAGTATTTTAACTTCAAAATCAACTAGAAATTTTAAATTAAACGAAGAGGTTACGAGAACAAATGATGAAAATATAACTTTGGAAATTACTGCCTCATGAACTGCTGCATAATGAAATAATTATGGAGATAAAATCGACAGTTATTTTGACTTTTTTCTTTTTTTTTTTTAAATGAAAAAATTTTTTGCAGGCAGTAAAAGATTTTTATTTATTTTAATTTTATTATATTTACTTTCTGTTTTGTTTAATGTTTCAACTGTATGTTTTTTTAATTGATGTTTACATAATGATATTACAAAATACAAATTGATGATACAAAATTTTAAGATTTAAGTGAAAAGCTTTGTTCTGAACTTGAAACAAACAACTGCAAAAATAAATAAATAAAATAAAACTAATAAAGCTTCGATTACGTAAGGAAAGAAATGGTTATTGAAACGCAATAATTGCAAGATCAATAGAATTAATATTATCTTAACTTCAAATAAAAGCTGAGCTGTGAGTGAGAAAAGAAAAGGCTAAGATATGCTTTCCCGCCTTTTTTATTTTACCGATCTCCGCAATTCGGCAGAAAAGCTTCAACAAAGGAGGAACGCAAGAGAAACGTTTGTTGCATCAGATAACGACCCAGTTCGTTCATCTAACATTAGATTAGCACTCTTGGCTAGCGAACCGCATCGACCTCCAACTCCTGTTCTATATTGAAGGGGAAAGAAATATTCTTAGCAGACGATACTTCTTTAATCTCAATTAATTTTCCCACTGAATGATGTAATATTCTGATAAAAGAAAAAGCACATTTTTTATACATAAGCGCTGTAATAAATATTATATAAGTATTATCCATTTTCACTACATGCAAAATAAGTGAATAAATAAAATCGTTTTATTATTAATAAATGTGCATTTTAAGCTGACAGTGTGGAACGAGAAATATTATTGTTCTTTTGCAGTAATAAAATATTTTAATAATGAGTAAAAATAAATTAAAATAAAATGGAATATGATTTTCAAAAAAGGTAAATAAAAAAAAAATATGAATTACAGTTTTTTAATTATTAAATGTTAATATTTTTGATAATAATATAGTAAGAAAATAAGATAAAAATGTGATTAAGTAAAACAAGTAATAATACTTAAAATATTTTTTAGTTGAAGTATATTTTAAAATTATATTTGTGCATTATTTACTCTATTAAACCAAAGGTCTCTTATTAAGGTCTCTTTTGGTTTCATTTTTCGATAAACGTTTTTCTTCTTTTTTTAAGAAAAAAAAATATTAATAGACCTTTATAATTACGTATAACTTTTTTAATCATTTTTATTGTAAGAATCGTAACTATTTGTTGCATATTATAAATTGATACACTATAAGTTAAAGTCCTAAAATTCCCTAAAGCTAATGAATTTTCAAAATCTTTCTCCGAATTAAAAATTCATTAAAATAACTTGATACAAAACGACGATCATAAACAATAAAAAAAAATTAGTTATTATTTAGTTTTTCTTTCGTGATTCTTTTTATAAATCTAATTAATTATCAAAATACATATTATTCTACAAAATTACTTTACTTTGTAATAATTAATATTCTAGCAATTAAAAAATATTTTTATATAAGATAATTAAATCATTATTATTTTCTTGCAGTTTATATGTGAGGCTATCAAAATGTATGCACCTAGCAACAGGAGCAGCTTTGTTGTATGCTTTTTTCTTAATGCTCACAGCAGGAAGCCGCAAACCCTCATCTTCTCGTTCTGCCACTTTACTCTACTTAGCATCTTTCGCCACCCATTTTGGAACTCAAATATGGATGACATTAATATCTGGTACGTATATTATTCTATCATCTTAAATTATCCTTTTGCAAGAAGTTTTTTTGTAATTAATTGCTATTTCTTACTTTTATTTTTAAATAATCTAAGTTCATTCTTCTTCTATTTAGGAATCGTTCTTTTCTTCAACCTACCTCGTAAAATCTTTGGGATGGTTCAAAGGCATCTGTTTCCTAAATATTTCCTACTGAACAGCGTGCTTGGATTCTTGACACTTTGGATATTTGTACTGCAAAACCCAGAAGCCATTGCTCAGGTAATAATCATTACCAATTATAACAATTCATATACCTTTTTGAAAATAAAAAAAAAGATATGAAATTATCAAAAGGGAATAAGGCAGCTTTGTTTTTTTTTCTGCACGGGAGTCATGAAATTAATAAATATATTTGTCAAAAAATTTTTTGTAAATAGATCTATACCTGAAATTTCTTATAACGAAGTATAAATGCAAAAAATAATAATAATTTTATTTAAATTCGTTAAAAAAAATTCCTAACTGTACCGCCAACGAAGAATCGCTCAATGTCAGGAAATAATTCGAAAGATTTATCTAATATTGAGAAATTAAATTATAGTTATAAGTGAGAGAAAAAAAATTCTATTTCGCCATTTTGATTTTTATATGCTTTTGAAAAAACTTTTCGCAATAATTCCGCTTTATATTTGTTTTGAAGTTCTTTCTTCCTATATTTATATGCGTTTCTCTCTTACACGATTAAATATTTCAACTTCAGTTAAACAACGTTTTGGCTGCTCTTCTTATATAGTTTTAGAATAATTGAAAAAATTGAAGTCAATAAACTGTAAACATTAAGGGTTACATGTTTAATATATAAGAGAGAGAAACAAAACGCTTATTAGGATCAGAAAAAGTAAACGCGGAATTAAAACTGTCAAAAGACAGTTAATTTGTCTAGTGGAAGCTGAATACATTCGATTTTTGCAGTCAACTGCTCTTAAGTTTCATTTTCAAATAAATAGTTTTTTGGTGTTTCCTCCTTTGACTTTATCATCGTCAAAAAGATTGGTCAGATTTAGAAAATGGTTTTGTTCTCTCGCATTTTAATATTGCAGCTCTTAATTTGTGTAGTTTTCTAAAAATACATGAAATATATATTAAGGAATTTTATTACACCCTGCAAAACATGCAAGACGCTATCCACATGTCTTGTAAGGCTTATTTGCCTTAATGAAAAGTAGAGTCGGCGGTACACAAAAATATTTTTAAATTCCTTTTTAACACCTATGATAATTTTTTTTCCTTGACAAAAATTTCAAATTTTTCTTTCTACCACTAAGTTCACAGTTTCAAACAAAGTTTTTTACTGTATTTGGATGGATATAAGTGTTGTTCTTTCATATTTTAATATGAATTTTCCCCAATTAAATTAAATTTACACTTGTTCTGTTAAACGAATTTTTTTTAAAGCATTAGTAAGGAATATAAAAGTAAATATTTGTTTTACAGCTATTTGACAATATATAATATTTGTTTTGCTTAAAATCTTACTACGTAATGGCTACTCTAAATATATGTAAATATTAAGAATCTTTATAAGAAAATGTCGTAAAAAAGTATACATATGAGGGGCAACAAATTATTATTTAAATAAGGAGAAAGTAAAAGTGTAGCTATAGAAATCAAATGAATCACAATTAAGGAAAACAGGGCCGAAAATTTCAAAGCCAGTTTGATTTCTTGATGAAGTATTTTTAAAAACCATATTTCTACTTTGTTGTTTCCTCCAACAATCAAACTTGTTTTTATGTTTTCTACCCCGCCTTACTTCGCAACAAAGTGTTAAAAAAATTCAACTTTCGGTTAAATTTATTTTCAATATTTAAAAATAGATTTCCAGCTACAAATTTAAATTAAATATTCTTTTCTTATCTACTTGCAGCGATGGAACCTGGCACTATGTTTCCTGTGCGACCTCTCCGGAATGATATATATTGTACCTGACATGATCAAAACCATGACAGAACGCGGTAAAATCGAAGAGGAAGCTGGGGTTGGACAAGATGTTGTGGGTCGATTTAAACCTGGAGAAGCATTGAGATCATGTCCGAAATACAGTCATCTGCACTCAAGGTTTAGAAGGTTCCATGGTCTGTGTGCCTTAGTCAACATGCTAGCCATGGCCTGCAATACCATACATCTATACCACCTGGCGTGTAAGCTAATAGATCGGTGACACTGGCTTGAACTTTTAAGGACTTGTTTTTAATGATTATTCATTCCATGAACATTTTAACTTATTCAGATTTACGGCAAGACAATCATCATGTTTCATGTATATTTATTATTATTCATCTGTTATTTATTTCATATATTTATTATTCATTTGAAATGGCACATGCCTCGGAACAAACGCATAATTTATTTTGTGATATTTTGAGGTTGTGTGAATGTGAAGGACACTTTAGCCAAAGATACTAAACAGTGCCCTTTTTAAATTGTTGAATAAAATATTTTTATTCTTTGTTATTTGTTGTTTTAGTGCTTAATTTGTTCTTTGAAAGAAATCATATGAGAATTTTATTACCGAAATTAGATAAATCCGAGACATTTTTTTTCATTTGCAAGTATTTAAATTCAGTAATTACTTTCACATTAAGAAAAGTGTATCTAGGCTTCGTATTGAGTCAAAGAAAAATCAGAACATTTTTTTTAAAAAAATCAGGATTTTTTTTGGAATAATATACATATTACAGACTCCTTTAAAATACTCAAACTAAAAAAAAAGGCATAATTTCCCTTACTTAACAGTTATAAAAGCAAGTTTATAGCAAAACAATAATAAAACATGCAATTTTTAATTTCAGAATTCTTCATACGACACACTTTTTTTTAAATTTATTATATTTTTAATGAATGTGTTTTAAAAATTATTTATTTTAAATCAACGGTAAGTGGATAGAAAAAAATATGATTTAAAGCAAAACTAATGGCTATGTGGTACTAATTCATTAAGGAGAAATTATTATTAACACCAATGATGCTTAATTAATTAAGGTAGTATATGCATACTGAAATAAAGGAAATAAGCTATGCACTAGAAAGCAAAAGTAATGGAGTACAGATATTTGTCTAAGAAATAGTCTTACTGTCATTGACGACAATAAAAATTAATGTTGGTAAAATTGATATAAAAAAACTTTTGTACTAAAAAGCAAAAGTAATGGTGAAAAGATACTCATTCATTTAGGGGAGCCGTAAAAAAACACCGTATTGTTACTGACACTAATGCCATACTAATATTGATAATATGCATTAATTGAAATAAAACAAAATAAGCTGAAAAGCAAAGTTAAAGGAGAAAGGGTTAATAGGAAACACGTTTAGGAAAACCGTAGAAAATCGCAATTTACGAATGACGCTAAATTATTGTGTACTACTGACGGTAATGTGTACTACTGGTATCATGGTAATTGGTTCAATCTTGATAAGAATTCTACATCGGATTTCAGAACATTTTTTTTCAGTTGTAGCAAAGCTAGTGTATTAATATTTTAATGAATTAGAATTAAAAGAGCTTTGTTCCGTCACTACTTGTAAATATTTTAACAGTANAAAAAAAGTCAGCTTTACATTAAAATACCATATTTTCATTTATTAAAATACAGGATTATACTCAGATACTCTATATTATTTTTAAGCCAAGGCAAACATTCTTGATTTGTTACTTTTTCCATCACTTTTGAAGTGTAAAATTTTGTTAATGACTATGAATTATTAATTATCATCGCAGGAAAACGTTGTCACTTATTCAAGATACAAATTGTTCTACAAGCTTCGTTTGTTCTGCGACGTACGTCACAGTTTTAGGCACTTTCTGCTTCTGGGACTACTGGTATCATGGTAATTGGTTCAATCTTAATAAGAATTCTACATCGGATTTCAGAACATTTTTTTTTTCAGTTGTAGCAAAGCTAGTGTATTAATATTTTAATGAATTAGAATTAAAAGAACTTTGTTCCGTCACTACTTGTAAATATTTTAACAGTAAATTAAAGGTCAGATAGAGAAATCGTCTTGGTTCAAAACCCTTATCAAGATCTAATAAGAATTCTATTTTTTTTTTTTATTCCTGTTTTAATTGGCTGTCACTGACAAATATATTTTTCACAAACTCAAATGTTGAAGGATTATGTAATATCAAACATAATAATATATGTAACAAAATATAATGGTATTGATATATTTGGTGGTTATTAAAACAGTACCAATACTAAGCAGTTTTAATACCGCTACTTTGAAAATAAGTGTTTTACGGCTCCTCTTAAAGGATTGTGCACCGGAGAAAATTACTTGATAGTGGTAAATTTGTGACCATTATGAGTCAGCTGCCAGCAATAGCATTATGTAAAGTGATGCTGAATACGATTTCTCTTTATTCAAATAGAATGAACTACCAAAAATGAGTTTTGCTTACTTCAATAACGTAAAAGCCAACGAAACAAAGCAACAAATAATATTAAATAAAAAAATAGAAATTATTTTAAGTCTATTAATTGAAAACTTGGTGGAAGAACCAGGTAAATGACATTTTCAGAACAAAAAATAAATGTTGTATCCGAACTATTCTACTACCAATTTGTTAGAAGGTGGGACTAATAGTTCTTCGCATTATTTTATTTACCACTAATCTATATTATATAAAACGCTAATACGTATGTATCAATAACTTCCACAGAACTATATACAGTGAATTCGCGATAACTCGAATCTGATAGGACTGACACAAAACTTCGACATATCGGAAGTTCGACTTACCGTTAGTTTCGGTTTCGGACTTAAATATTGTCGGATTATTTAATTAATGCTTATTAATTACAAATCTTCTAAATGCTTACAATATTTAAGATCATTTTTCTGACAAGCCACTTANAAAAGTTTTCGGAACTTCAGTGTTCAAAAAAGTATACAAAAGCTAGACGTTAAGAACGTATCCAATGAGCGAGCAAAGCGAGCATCGAATTGCGAAGCAATCCGAAATGAACTGCGAAAGCAGCTCCGGGGGTTGGCGAGCGCCAGCGAGCAGGGGGCGAAGCCTCCTAGTTTGAAATAAAAATCCTCCAAGTAAAACTTACATACTAAAATCTTACATGTATTAGTTATGTTAAGATTAAAGTGAAGGCAAAAACAGTTCGGTCACATTAAACACATCCATATTGATGCAGCCAATTTTGTTATTTTTCCTGATTCATTCATTTCCCCTAAAAATTTTCCTTACCTGGTTCTTCCATCAAGCTCTTTGATTGTATCGGTATTTTCTTTTCAATTTTGAGCATGATTTCGTAGTGTCTCTCAGTACTGATTTATTGATTCTTTAATTATTTTATTCACCCCCGTATTCAGTAAGAATGGGTATTCAGCTAGTACTTAAATTAAAAAAAAAAAAAAACTAGAGTTTTTCTCTTAAGCTACAATAATTTGCAGTCTAGAATAGCGGTTCCTTAAAGGTGTTCCACAGAACTATATATTTCTTTTTCATAATTGGTTGATTATATTAATAGAAATAATTTTTTGTCCAAGTTAAAGAGTTTTTAACTTTTTTTAAGACATTAACAATAAACTTATTATCTACACAAGCTTTAACAATAAGTGCTTGACACAAAACTTATCCAGAACTTAGTGTTTTTAGATTAGGGAATTTTGAGCTTTATAGCTAAGTTTTCATGAACATTCTGGTGTACTCACCCATGAAAAAATACAATGATTAACAAAAGAAAGAAAAAGACAATCTTACCTTCCTAGTAATGGCTAATATTTTTCTACTTTTTTCAAATATTAAAGATAATATCCTCTTTCAAAAAAAATCAAGTTAAAGGAGTAATTAAGAATAATTAACATGAAAATAAAGAAGAATAGAAAAAAGGAAGGGACCTGATAAAAAATTAAGCTATAGAAATATGCCAGATATAGTGAATTGACTGCATCTAAATTTGATCAAACTTTACAACTGATTGAAGATAATTGGTTAGTGGCATTGATGATTAATGCTTATTATATAGACATAAAAAAACTCTCAAAATAAGTCCATTTGTTTCTAAAAAAATAATAATAATTAAATACTATAATGGTAGACACAATATGTTAATGAATATATTCAAACAGGCAAAATGTATAAATATTTATTTGGCAACCAGTTACTGTTAAATAACACAACATCCATTCCAAAGGTAATAAAATATACTGTGCGATAATCCATTGTGCTAAAAATTTAACCAACAATTTCTTATATAATAAGTAATATCTGTAACAACATGCTATTTAAAAGCATAAACACAATATTAAAATATATACAGTTAATTTAAGTAATATCTAATTTAAAATTCAACAAAACAACATCCAGTCCTTGAACAACAATATCAATTGCACCATTTGGATACACAATTCCGAAATCTTCATCGCTGAATGCCTTTGTTGCAAGGTATCCGTTTTTTGAGTTCATCTCAAATTCTATTGGAGAAAAACTAACATATCTTTTCTTGGGCTGTCGATTTAAAAAAAGTAAAGCATAAGAAGTTTCATTTCCCGAAATAGGTGCTATTGGGCGCTTCCAAACCTCAAAAGAATTTTTCTAAAAAGCAAATAAAGGAATAAAAATCACTTCAAAAAATAACAAAAGGCTATTTATAAATATTTTTTCGAATTTGGAATCAGAATGCCTGTTATTTCTTAGACAACAACATAGTTAAATACTTGCATAAAATTTAATTTAAATTAATGTCCAGAAATAAATATATTCACATAACCTTTAAGTAGAGAAATTTTAATAAATATCAACACCACTTGAAGGAGACCCTGCCCGGATATGCTTGGTATGCCCCTGAGTCCCCGGGAATGTCATTGCAGTGCTTCCTTCCAAGACTTGCTGAGACCACTCAATCTAGACTTAGGACTGGTCACATTAAGAATATAATTTTTAACGGAAATGAGAAGACTTACACTGTTTTTTGGCTATTCTGCCATCGCTCCTCCCTCTCATGTCTTAGATTGTATTGGTGCCTCTATGGGGCAGCTGTTAAATGAGAGGACTATAGTTTTCGATTAAATTGTGCAACATGGTCTCCTGTACTTGATTTAGTTTGTCTAAGCCAAGGAGAATAAGCAACAACTTTTTAATAAATTATTTAAAACTTGTAGAAGCATTCTTCTTAAATAGTTCAAAAAATTTTTTTTAATTAATTTGCTTAGGTACTAGTCAATATGAATTTTTATTAGTCAACAAGTCGAGTTATTGAAGAAAATGGCTCTCAGTTCTTCCAAGTAGAGTAAGCTCCAAATTGATGTTGTAAAATTATCTCTTTTTTTTTTCTCAATACACTTTTGCAACCTTTCACACCTAGTTTAATATATTGGAAGAATCTCATTTGCCCAAAAAAGGAACTTTTTGTTAATCTTCTAAACCAATTTGATAATCACAGTTCAAAAATCACAGTTTTTTTCACAAATAAAGAAATCTAAATTGTATTTCGACAATTCAATTGCGCAATGCCTATTTGGATTTTTTTTAAATAAATATACTCTAGCATTTAAAGAGTACATTCAAAGTTATCTTTTGATTTTCCTTATAAATGATATAGGCAATTTTTAGTGTGTATATTGTGTCATTTGTGTTTTCATTGTTAATTTGTGTTACAATATTTGCATATGTAGATTCAAATTAAAGTTACATTTACTTACATCTTATGCTCTATTTATCTAATCCCCCCCCCTCAGATGTATTAGATCAAATATCCCCTGCCATATCATTACATAATTTAAACACAACTTTTAGTAGATTACTATTAATCAAGAATTTTTCACCACTGATAATTTTAAATTTTATATTGCAAATCTGATAAGTGAAAGGTATATTTTGTATATCTTTGCTTACATTTTTATTCTTTTTTGTGAGCATGTTTTTATTGCATACTTGTATAAATCAATAATAGAACAAAATAGAGCTATATTGAAGAGGAAATTTTAAGATCCCATAAAACCAATTTTTTATTTAATCCATTTCCTTAAAAAAATGATGAATTATTAGTAAAACTAGTAGTTCATACTTTTAACAATATCACAACCTAAAATAGTTCATTAACGGCTCTATATTATTTCTTAAGAATGCCGACTTATTAACAGTTTCCAGGTATTTCTCAATAATTCTGGTGAACCCCTTATGAGTTAGTTTTAATATGTAAATAACCTAATCTAATATTAAAAAATACAATTGCATGAAAGAGTAGAAAAAATAGATTAAAAAAATAAATGCATTATGCAATAGGGTTCGAAATGCATGGAAATCACCCTCAAATCATCTAGAGAAATATACATGGGTTAAAAAAATCTAAAAACAAAAATAATATATTTTCAAAGGTGAATTTAATGTTTAAAACTTGACCCCCAACTTCACCCCTTGAAAGTAGAGTCAAGGAAAATTCAAAATACTAGACAGAAACTTCTTTTATTTCATACTTGGATTCTTTAGAAAAAAAGATTCTCAATTTGACCTACAGGTTTTAACATTTTGGTACACAAATGAATCACAAAATAAAAAATGGAGTATGCATTGCTTAAAATTGAAATATCCTGAGATATATATGTCTGATATTTTGAAAAATTAATTCCTAAACTCTGTTTTGATGCATCTAAGTCTAAAGAACACTTTAAGTTTTTAAGACAAGAAAAACTAATGGCACCCCCCTGTAAGACACCAAGGAAAAAACCTGGGATAAGTAATCTACATTTTTAAATATTTTGCTTTTTAAATTTACTTTCAAAATTAAATTTACTCTTTCAATTTTGCATATATTTAGACCATGCATAAAATTTTTGAGAGAAAAGTAACAATAAATTAAATTAAAATGCTCAAAGGGCATTTGTAAAAACTATTGTTTTCCTATCTTTATATTTTACATACATTCTCTTAGAGTAGTATATTTATAGAAAACTATTGTTGCATTGCTTTTTAATGAATGCTTTTTTTTTCATTCAATATGGTCTTTTTAAACTAGTTAAATCACATTTTAGTTTTTCTTTTTAGTAAACTTATAAGATGAAAAAATTTTAAAATTTATTAAAGCAATAGAAAACCTTGACGTACAGACCTGAAAAATCATCACACTATTCAAAATGTATAACTATCAAAAGTATTTAAAAATTACACATAGTACTATATTTATAACATGACATTCGAGAAGAGTAAACGTTCAGTAATTTTTTTTCAGTAATCGGGAATTTGTACAAAACTTTCTGGTCAAACATTGTTAGTAAATCAGAGAAAACACAAAGAAAAGAAAATGTTTTATTTTTCTGGAAAGAACAACTTTAACTAATTCAGCATTAATATTTAAAGGCGTTAGTTAAAATAATAACGAAACAAAAAAAATTAATAACTGTAAGTATACTTTATATATTCTTTTGCCTGGAAGACCAAGATGATCTTGATTAATAGCAATGGCTCTTTTGTCAATGAGAATGTCTCGAAAAATAGGCTTTATGTCTCTTAAATCATTTGACATTAATAATGGAGCAGGAATAATACACCAAATAGCCATCTGTGCTCTTGATTGACCAGGTGTAAGATGAAAGTTCCCAATCAAAAGCTAAGTGAAGAAAAAAACATATAATTAAAAAAAACACTATACTAAAAAATATTAATATTTTTACTATAAACTACATTACTTTAATTTTTAAACTAAGAAAACGGTGTATAAAATGATAAATTTATAATTTTTTGATAGTTGAAAATTGTAGCTTTTATTTTAAGCTAAATGCAATTTTAGTTTAAAACTTGATTATGCACTAAACAAACTGCTAATTATTCATAAATAAGTGAAAGCAAGCATAAATAGAAGAAATGCACCACAGCATAAAAAATAATCTCCATAAAATTTATAAATATATTTTTTAAAATGTAGAATATGAAATTTTAGTTAAAATTCTTTTATGCACAAAACAATTCTATCAATTATTCTTAGATAAGCTGCTCAAAGCACCAAAACATGCTATAGTCACAAAATTAGAATTTATTTTTCAAACATTATTTATCCTAATGATTGAACCATTTATAATTATAATGTATTTTAATCTTTAAAAAAAATCTTAATAAAACGTAATTCTAACATTCATGTGAGATTACAAAGACTCAATTTAAAAGATATGATAAATATGACATGATATGATAAATATGACATGATATGATAAAAATACTATGATATAATAAAAATCTCCACACAAAATAAAAATATTTCATAATTTTAAGCTATGAAAATAACATGTAATACAAATATGTGATTCAGATTATGAATCATTAAAAGAATATCATACAAAATAATGGCTACCATAACATATTTTTAATAAGAATGGTTTTTATTTCAGATGCTAAACAAAAATTAATAGCATGATAAGTATATGATGAATTTATAATAACATTAATTAAGAATTTATCATTTATAATTCACAACATTATGAAAATGATAATTGCTATATCATACACATTAAAATGATAATCTGCGCATCATTTTCACAAAAATAATTTAGCGATTTTACAACATACTGACCATGTCTGGATCATTCCAGTGACCTGGTCCAGTGTGTTTACTAAGCACTTCCTGGTTATCTCCAAAGAAATCTATGATCATTTCAATGCTTTGCCAGGAATCTTTAATATCATGGTAATTTCGCCACAAGTTGCAGTGTTGAGCAATTGATTCATACATAGGCTAAATTAAATTGAAAGATTGTAACTATGCATTGTAAAGTATTTTGTGTTTAGTTTTATTATTTTCATTTTATTTGTTACCTATTTTTGAGAAGTAATTTAATAGAATCAAAGCCTTTTTTTTTCCTTAATACCTACTTCCATGTTGGACATAAGTTGATAATATGGCCAGCTGCAAGAATATATCATGGGTCTAGCAGTTTGGTTTAAGAACTTTCCAAACTCAATATAACCTGAAACAAATGCATAACTCAACTGTATATGTGATGTCTAAATTTAACATAAACACTATGTCCACTATTTTTTTTTCAACAGTTAAGATATGAATTGAATAATATAAATATAACTTAAACAAGAATAATAAAGATAGATAACAAAAATAAATAGTAAAACAATATGTTTACTATTTATTTTTACAAAATAAATAGTTTCATATGTAACAATGTCAGAAATGAAAAGTTTTTGAAACTTTAAATTTATAATTTTAATCATTAAACATCTATAATAAAATATTTATATTTAAACAAAAAGCTATTCTTTTTAGCTTTTACCATTTCCAAATAAATTTATAGAAAATAAAGTATTATACACATTAATTCAATAACTTTGAATTAACATGTTTTATTCTATATTCTCAAAGAAATCAAAATGGAACAAAAAATAGTAACTAAGATATGCAACTAGATTACATTGTAATTAGATTATATAGAAAATCTTTTAAAAATAATGTACATAAGTCGAATTGCTCGTTTCTCAGCTGAATTTAATTTTTTCATCTGTGATATTCTAAAATTAAAAGGTTTCCTCAAATAGCATTTAAACATACTTTCAACATAACTCAAATATAGTATAATAACATAAACTTTTAACTTTAAATTTTATATATTACAGTACATACATATATATTACTAAAGTATGAAAGTCCCATATCTCGTCCCAATCCCATCTTTTAACTGGAAGAGTCTATTTTTCGGACATTTTTTTTTCTAAAATAATGTTTTTGAAGCATTAAAATGAAAATCTTAGTCATCAAACAATAATAATAAAAATATTTATGTAAGAAGGAAAAGTTGTTGATTTCAGCACCTACCATTTCCGAATAAATTTATAGGAGATAAATTAATACATATAATAACTCAATAATATCCCTTATTCTATATCAGATTTTCTTTTCACATACAATCTGTTACAAAAAGTACCAGCAAAAATATATATATAATTTCTTTTTGCAACTTCTTTGATAGCTAAACATTTATTGGGAATAAGAAATGAAAATTAATGAAATTGAATATTAATAGTGCTTGAAAAGAATACCAGAGGGCAATCTTAGTTGCAATTTNAAAAGTTGCATTTTTTGCAACTTCTTTGATAGCTAAACATTTATTGGGAATAAGAAATGAAAATTAATGAAATTGAATATTAATAGTGCTTGAAAAGAATACCAGAGGGCAATCTTAGTTGCAATTTTCTTTAAATTAACCAATGATGTTTTCCTTTAAAAATCTACTCATTTCTGCTTCTTACTTTAGATTATTATTATTTTTTTATTAATATTAAGTCAAATTTACTTTTGGAGCTTGAGACTGGTATTTTAACGTTATTTTAATCTGCACTTCTAATTTTTCACATCACAAAGAAAAGAAGAAAAAAAGAGAGAGAAATATATTTTCATTCATGAAAAAAAAAGATCAAATTATCAGCTGCTCACTTTGATTTATTTTTTATATATATGTCTATATTTTATGATACTAAACATTATTAACTTTTAAATGTCATTCAACCAACAAGAAAGCATTGTTGAATGAAATTTATGTTAATTTTCATTTGTTACTTTTTTATAAAATAATATATGTTTTGATGTTTGTTTACCTTAAAAACCTATTTTCCCATCTTACCAGATGATTTTGGATGTGGGACTTTCGACAGTATATAACTGATAATTGATTAGTAATATTTTTTATTATAATTTGACTTACATTAGTCAAAGTTTTAGATTACATTAGTCTCTACTAACTCTATTCATCTACTCCTTAACTTGCTTGTTAGCCATTTATGAAAAAGAAGTTCTTTTAATCAGCAGTGGGATCATCATCCATTTCAAATAAATGAGCCACCCTGTTCATCCAGTTTTTTTTATGAATTTTACAATACCTGTCTTCCTATAGACTTTATATGTGTGTGGCTCAAAGTCTTCTTTAAACTTTGTTGATTTCTATCCCAGCAAGAATGACCTGCGAAACTCTTCTCCTGAAAATTACTTTTTTTATTTTCTTCAGCTCTTATCAGGTTACACGTCTGAGTCATAAGTAAGTATTGGTCTGATTTATGTTTTATAAAGTGAAAATTTTGTATTTTTTAATAGTAGTGAAGATTTAAAAAATTATTTTAGTTTAAAAAAGAAGCTTTTTTTGCATACATTAAAGGACCTTTAATCTCCTAGATTATGGTATTCTATTGTAGTTAAATTTTGCCTTTGCTAGAAATAACATACCTGGTTAGATGTTCTTGGTAAATTATGTTCAGTTATGTAAGAGAAACTAATGTTATTATAATTCAACTTATGGTACTAATACCTAATTAAGAGAAATATAGAGAAAACTTCAGAATTAATGAATAGTTTTACCAAAATATATTCTCATGAAAATCTTATTAAAAATTCTCCTAACAATACTTTTTAATATTCATAAGAGAGTAAAGTGGAAATTTAAAAATAGCAATAAAATAGAATTCTATCAAATAAAGTTATGCCAATTCTTTAAGTTTTCCCAAAGCATAATTAAAACTAAAATTTGCGAAAGTAAGAGTGGCATATACAGTTGTCCTATCTAAATATAGGTTAAATTCATTTGTTAAATAAATAAATTACCTTCATCCATTTTTGAAGGGTGAGTAAAACAACCATCCAGTTTAACCATGTCAACATCCCATGATGCAAACATACTTGCATCCTGTTTCATATGGCCGATGATGCCAGGAAAACCCATGCAAGTCTTAAGACCAAAAGTTTGATATATTCCAAGCTTTAAGTTACGAGAATGCATCTGAAATTACAATATAAAGTAAACTTTTATCTAAGAACAACAATACACATGTTTCTTTTTTCTCAATTTTACCCATCAAAAGAAAAAAAGATATAAATGAAAAATTTAACATTATAAATTTTAAGCGTTCACGAGGCACAGTAGGTATGCAAATAACTAGTGAAAAAGTTATATTACACTCTTTAATATTGGTTATGTTTTTTATTTAAAAATAGTCATTAATATAATATAACAAAAAATTAAATAATGATAAAGTAATAATGACAAAAAATTATTCATGTGTTATTCATCTTTAAAACATTTATCTGTACCTTATTCTAAACCAAACAAAAGATTTTGTCAATAAATGTTTTTCAAAAGAAGTGCAGATATCTAATTTAATAATCTAACTATTAAAAAAAAATTTAGTTACCAAAGCTATCCAGTACAACTTTTATTTATTAATTTTCTGAGTGTCTTAATTCAAATATATATACTATCATCAATGTGTGAAATATGATATTCTACAGAATACCAGATTTTATACACAGATAGTAACATACATTTTTGTTGTATTCTTTATGTTATATTTAAAATGTTCTTTTTAAATTGCTAAAAATGATTCTATATATCAAAAATCATTTTCAATATCACCACAATATTCTGAAACTATTTACATTTTACAGTAGCTGTATAACTTATTGCAGATTAAACATACATTATTGTTAGTAAGAAAATTATTAAGTATCAAAAGAATCGCAACTTAATTTTATAGTTCAGTTTAAGAGTATTTTATGATTACATAATCAGCAAGAAATTTGATTCCACGACGAAATCGACTGTAGTCTGGATATAAATTTCCATCTTTTGATCTGTGAGGATTCATCCAACAATCATCAATATTAATGTAAGTGTATCCTGCATCTCTGAAGCCATCTTCTACAAATCTATTTGCCATTTCCATAAACAGCTCTTCCCTAAAATATTTTAAACAATGGTTACATAAAAAAAAGCCTTTTAATAAAATTATACAACTTCAAAAAACTTAATTAATGAAGAATAAATAAAGATAATAGAATTATTAAAAATACAAAACACCTTTGGAATCAGAGTTTTTCAGGGCAAGGGAAAAAACCCGGAGATTTTGTGTAGTAAAGGTTATGGAGAAACTTTTCTTAGTAAACACATTTGTTATCCAAGTTTATTATTCATTTAGTTTTCCAAATCACATTTATAGGGAAAATAATGAATAAATCAGTATGGTACACAAATTAAAAGAGGATATTTCCTAATCGTGATCTGTTGCGCCAACTACAATCACTAAATAGATTTTTATCTTGAAATTGTTTTTAACTAAAACGTGTAGAGCTTTATCCAGAGGTAGCTATTAGTTATACCCCTTCAAAAATGCTTCTTTTTTATCGGGACGCTGCCCCGAAGTTGCCAAGACTTGGTGATTATTCTGCAGTAAATTTTCTTTTCTAATTTAAGGCACTGAATTATTACGTTCTTCACCACGGAAGATGCGGAAAATCTAGCTAATTTAACGTTACCCAGTCTACACCTGAGAACCTGAATGAATAATTTGAAATATACTACTAATGAAACAAGCATAGTAGATAAAAACCGAAACACTCTTTACTACAAATAATTTTGAAGACAACAAACTTACCTTATACAATTTTCCGGAGATATATCACACCGAATATTACATTGAAATCGTTCCCAAGCTAACCATCCCATTGGCGGTGTTAAAGCTAAACCATTATTCAAGCAAAGAACATAAAACTGCTTGATGAGAACGAAATAAAAAAAACATAATTTCAATTTTATTATCAACATTCTTGGTAAATAAAATATTAAAAAAACATTTGCTTTCTTGTAATTTGCGCATTTACTAAATACAGAGGGATACCTAACGCAAACATGACACTAAAAATGCAAAACGCAAAGAACAATAGAATGTTTAAAAACTAATCATCAAATCATGTTTCTGCTCAATTTCTTGACACAATGTAAATATTTACTAATTCTAACCGGTTTCTACTCATTGCCAACTTCTAAAATAAAACTGGTAAGAAATGAGATCACCATGCGTGATGCGCCATCTAGGGAGAAGACCGGTTCCATGTCATAACCCTCCCCCTTTTCCTCTCTTCTTCTTCTTAGTTGTATAGAAATATACCACGATATTCCCTTTTCCTAATATTTTTCATGTTTAACTGAAGCTTTTTTTTAGAACTATGTTCACTGTAGTTTTCAGTTCCATACACTTTCGGAACTCAAAAGTTTTTACTGTATTTGAAAATAACGAGAGAAACTGCCATGCGTCATTCTTCTATGACTCTCCACACGCTAATGGTGAAAGCACACAAAATGAAGTGTTGACATAGGTAAAGAGTTCTGCTCTACGCCACCTATAGCCTATTTCGAACGAAATTTTAAATTGTTCCAGTTTCTAGAAAATCAATTTTCTTTTCTTTTTGTAATTCGGTTTAAAATGGAATAGTTTAACGCCATAAATAAATTTTAAAATTTCAATGAAAAATAAATTATCCTGCATTATAATTTGGGATAAAACTCTGAACCTCCAAATAAGTAATCATGAATTATGTTAGACTCATGGGTGTTGCAGAAATCCAATTTTCGAGGGCGACGAAATTAAATTGCACAGTCACAATAGTTCTCTAAATTTCAACCTAAGAAAAAACTTCTTGCGTGTGCTAAATATTTGAAAAAGATTTATCATTATCCCTTTCTAGTTTTTAAAATTTGATGAATTTAAATCGAATATGGTTTATAAAAATTTTCTTTATTTGTCTGAAATATTGAAAGGAACTTTTAGAGATTTCAATTTACAGAGGGGGACATATACCCACCGTCCTCCCGAACGACTCACGTGCTTAGATCTAAGATTGACTTAATGTTCTTGCAAGGAATTATAATACGATATTCTGAAAGAAAGTGAACACTTCAAACCACAAACTTAAGAGTTTCCACCAAAAAAGTGTTTATTTTAATACAAATGAAGAAGTTAAACAAAGCCAAGTATTCAATGACAATATTAAAAAATGCAAAACATTTTCTCAAAACTCAGCCCCTCTACCAGCAATACCACTGAATGAGTTCTTAACGTTGAGGATTCTGTCCATTGGTCCGACTCACCAGAGAGTTTTTGGAAGTTTCAAAGCATGTATGCAAAGCATGGAAGTTTCAAAGTAGTTATTTCCTCTAGACAATTGCGCACATTTTAATCTTCAGTTAAGTTCAGTTTGAGGTAAGCATACAACGATGTTCAAGTAAGCATTTAAGAAACCACTCTATGCTTCATTGGAGAGTTAGAGGTTATGAAAATTCAATAAATAGTAACTAACTTAGCTACCGAAAAAATTTACATACAAAAATATTAATAAGAAGAAAAATGTATGGCCCTTTAATATTTGTGTGAATAGTTCTTTCCATTAGAAAATTATATAAAGTTTGAGGAGCAAATGAGATTCAACTTCACATTCCAATGTGTTTGCAGATGTTTGAGGTAAAGAAAGCTAGATGTTTCACAGTTAACCTAGATATAATATATTAAAAAATCAAAAAAAAAAATATCTTTTGATAAATTTGTCCTTAAATACCTACACAAATGATTTTCCAGGTTACTTTCTTAGACAGAAAAAAATATTAAAAAAGCATACAAAAAATTTTTGTTGTGCAGTTGGTTTCTAAATATGATTAAAAATATAAAAAGTGAAAAAATAATTAAGGGGTATAAATTTTCCATCAGTCACAGTTTTGAACTTTAATATCTTAAGATTAAGATCATTTTTGAAGGGAAAAATCTGAACCATCATGAAATATGGAATGTTTATTTAAAAAAAGGTTTAATTTTTTAATTCAATTTATAACTCTTTAATTGGAATATTTAAAATTGCACCTCAAACTATTAAGACTGCATACAAATTTAATTGCTAGAACAAGAATCATTCAGTGTGAATTTTTTTTTCTTTTTGCCACTGCACTGTTTGGCCTTAAGGAGAACTTCTCGAAATTAAAAGTCTAGAACTGCCTGCAGCTACAGTAAAAAGAGAGATATCAGAAAAATTACTGGCGATTGAAGAAATTACTATTTTTTTTATAGAAGATTTTTTTATCAACGAATTCTATTGAAGATGTAAAATAATTCATGGTAAAAGGCTTAATGATGTAAAGTTACTGTTGAAGAAGTTGATGTATTTATTTACAAACGTCCAAACAATATTCCAAAAATCAAGATTTGATTAAAAAAAATGTTTTAATTTTGAAAACGTGTGGAGATTCTAGGTAAAGATTTTTAATATAAATATACGTTATCAGAGTCGATTTCGTTGCAAATCAAATATTTTCACGCCAACCTGTGCCAAGAAAAAGACAAAATAATTCACACCACATCCTCCTCCAGTGACTTATCGTCGATGCAATAATACTTGCAATACTTCAGGAGATTGATGTATAGAAATAGAGAGGTTCTCCTAAAGTTGTAATATACATAATCATAAAAAATATTTGTCAACTATTTTGGAAACTTTGAGAAAAGTTAACTAAACAACTTAAATTATGATGCTTATTCCCAATGGTAATGTTAGTATATTTTAACCTTCTCATTATATTTTAGACTAGATGCGTTTATGAGGAATTTAATAAATTAAATTCAACTTCAAAATTTGTAATTATTTTGGAATTACTGTTAGATGCCATACAAAATAAATGTTTTCTATTTTGCAGGATCTATTTCTATTTTTGTATGATCGTTACACTATTTCCTATGCATTAGTTTATTATGAATTTAAATGAGCATTTATTATTTATTGCAAAAATGAGAATTTGGAAGTTGAGAAAAATTGTTTTTCAGCTTCAGTTGATGTCGCATTAATTTTAATAAGTAGATGAAATAATTTTTCATTCTTAACACTTTGAGTGCCTTTGTCAGTCATCTGTGACTGAGACTGAATATTTCGCTTAGGCCGCACCAGTCACTGGTAACTGGGATGTTAATATGATATAAAGCTAAAATATTATGTTGTTTTACGTAATATAGAACATTTATTTAAAATTTATTTAACTTTTATTTATGTCAATCCGTCAGTAGTGCGTTTGCAACACAATGCTAGAGGTTCTATGCAACATGTATGGCTGACGGGGATTTTCTTAAAAATATGCATGTCAGTCAATGTGTTAATTTAACAATATTTTAACTAATCCTGATTTTAAATTAAAAATTAGACAAAGTAGATCATATGTATTATGTATCTTTATGAGCAGCATGTAAAATGAAGTAAACAATGTTAAAAAAGATTTCTTGAGAGACAAACTGGAACGGCATGAAATCAAACTAATAATATTCAATTGTCAGAAAGAATTCACACACAAATTAATTTTAGTCATATAAATAAAATTTAATTATAAAAGTTACATGAATATATATTTACAAGAACAATATAGATGTTGAAACATAACACCATAACTGATCATAACAGAAACAGCACAAACGATTGCCAGGAATAAATTAAAGCATATCAATTATATATTCTTTTATTCGATTAAAAAAATAGAGGAAAAGCCTTTTCGAATGCTTTGCACTGCGCAAAAATCTTATCACAAAAAGCTATGAGAATCCAAATTCGATGCTTGAAGTACAAGAGAAAAAAAAAAGACAAAAATAATTATAAGAATAATAATACAAAAGATTTGCTTGAATATTAATTTTCTAAATTTGTCAGGCACATCAAGGAACCAATACTTTCAAATTCTTCATCCGATATGTTGCTAGCATCTTCATCTTCAACAAAAAAGTAATCTGAAATAAGTTAATAAATCATTTAATTATAAAATCTAAAAAATTCTATGTAAACCAAAAAACCAATTAAAATATGGAAATATTACACTTGTTTAAATAACACAAGATTTACTTGTCTTTACTATATATATATATATATATATAAATTTATANTATATATATATATATATTAAGTAGTAATTTTTACTAAGTAGAAGTCATTTATAATTCATTAACTTAAAAGAAAATTGATCTGAATGTCATGTACAAGTTCGATTGATATCCACAATCAAAACAATGTTACTTAAATGTTTTTTCATTGTTTATAGGATAAAATATGAAAACAAAGCAAAATTAACTTTATTGGGCTTACTTAATTTTTGAACATTAGCTTTCCTAATTTTTGAGAATAAAATCTAAAAAATTCTATATAAACCAAAAAACCAATCAAAATATGGAAATATTAACTTGTTTAAATAACACAAGATTTACTTGTCTTTGCTATATATATATATTTTAAGTAGTAATTTTTTCAAGTAGAAGTAATTTATAATTCATTAACTTAAAAGAAAATTGATCTGAATGACATGTACAAGTTTGATTGATATCCACAATCGAAACAATGTAATTTAAATGTTTTTTCATTGTTTATAGGATAAAGTATGAAAACAAAGCAAAATTAACTTTATTAGGCTTTATTAATTTTTGAACATTTTATATTACAATTACATTCTGTTTTTGTTGTTTATGTTGCATTAGAATGATTGCCTGGGATTTAACTTTAATGGTGTTTGAATGACATTACTGGTGCATGCTCACACTACCACAATTTAAATAGGAGGGCAGATAGGAATAGTAATTATCCAGTCTTCTAACAAGTAGTTCACTCTTCTATATCTAAAATCAACTCGGACATTACATTAGAGTGGACTTCAAACCACAAAGACACAATCGGCGAAAGTAAAATTAGTGAAACACATAGCCTTTAGAACAGGGAATTAAACCCTAGCCCAAGCAGTGGTATAGGCAAAGACTACCCACGGTAACAACTAAGTGATAATTTTCAATTAGAAGTTCAGCCACAAAAATTAAAGTTTTAACATGTATTTAAAAAAAGATTCACAAATTATAAACTATACAAAAATAGTGATCAAATTAAAATCTTAAATGACTGAATACAGGAGCAATGTGATATATAAATATAATTTTAAATTAATTGTAGTTAAGTTACAATCTTGAGTTACAATCTTAAGTTACAATCTCTACAATCTTACAATCACAATTAAAAATAAAAATCTAGATAATCTTTAATACTTATTTTTCTATCTTAATACTTTTTAATGTAGAAATAAATTTGATTCTACAATTACACAAAAATTTTAAATGGGACTTAATCGCTAAAATAAAGGAAAAATAAAGGAGGAAAAATTAATTTAACAGAATACAACATCCAAATTACAAATTAAACACATTTCTTGTTGCAGAAAAGTTAAATCTAAATTATCGAAACTAAATTTAGCTATTAATTCTACACTACATTGAGAAAACAAATGACACTTATTGTTTCATAAAAATGAATGCATGTATTACTGATTCTTCACTAAAATAAAAATTAGAGAATAATATACTTTTCCAGACAAGGAGAAATAGATATTAGGAAATAGAAATTGAGACAAATATGAATAACTATGCACAATAAGGTTTAGAAATAAAATAGTTTTAAATAATGTACCATTTATAATTAGACATAATTCATTGATTAAATACACTTTAATGTATGAATTTAATATGAGAGATGCTTAACATGCAAAGTAATTCCTAAATTACTCACAAAACATAAATAAATATAAAAAACTAATTTTATATACCTAAGCTGCAATTACTGCAATTTAAATCTGGTCGGAGATCCAGAGGTGGCCAATGTTTAGGACGCTCAGGAATTATTTCAAATAAATGCTGTTCGCCTGGAATAACAAGTAGCTGAAACAGAAAAAAAAACACATAAAGTTTAAATAAAGTGAATAAATTTTTTTTAATGAAATGTCATTAAATGAGTTCCAATTTGTCAAAAATGACTAAAAAACTAAATGAAAGTTCAGAGAAAAATATGAAACAGTTTATTCTAGACATATAATACATGCAATTCGTTACAAATATCTTTACATAACTTGTTAATATAACCAGTTGAAACTTTATAAATGAAACTGTAATAAATTATCTTTTTAACTAGGGATCTTTGTATGGTGTTTTTATGTCTGGCTTATAAAGCTAATGACAAATTAAATGAAAAACGTCATCCAATTTAATTGTAATTTCACAGCAATTAAAAGGAAGAACTTATTTTACTTTAATGAAATTAGCAAGTAAACATACATTTTAAATGATAATGTATTAGTTGATGGTCAATATATAATTATTTTAATTAGTGTTACGCATAAATGATATTACTTTTTACAGTGCAATATTAAAGTTACAGTCCCACATGATGTGACATTTCCAGCTTATTAATTTTTTAAGATTATTTAGCCATAATTTATATTTAAATTTTTTTATATGTTTTTAAAACAAGACCAAAAAGCAATAATAGCCTTAAAAGAAGTTAAATGCACACAAAAGCTAATTAAAAGGAAATGTTTGTTTCATTACTTGTTGAACTTGTTCACACCAGTCATCAAAATCATCTTCAGAATGGAAATAAAAACACTAAAAGAGAAAATACTACACTAAATTTCATTGATAAAATTCTTAAAAATGAAATGTAACAAAAACAATTCAAAGTAACAAACATCAATAACTTTCCAAAACAAATTTCATGTTACTTTCAATTTCTAGAAATAACTACAAGAACACCAGAAAAGCTCTTGATTTAAAAAACTTTTTTTAAGAACATTAAAGATTAAGAGAACAGAAATTTAATAAACATTATCTCCAACAGAATAAGATAGAAACATCAGATGCATAAGAAAAGTATTTATAAGTTTAAAATAAATTAGCAAAGCATTTGGTTTCGAAAAAAAAAAATTTAAAAAGCGTAAATATATAAGAAAAGTTCACAGAATAAATAAATAAATAATAATAATAATAAAAAATAATGGTACATAATAATAATAAAAAATAATGCTGACATACATTCAATATACACAGATAAACAGTTTATGAAAACTACATAGATTTATTGAGTTTTTTAATTTTATTTTGTTCTTATCAATAATTTGTGAATCTGGAACAAAATTGTTCTTGAACTAAGCTCCTCACTTTTTTTAAAAATCTGATTTATTTTAATACTAAAAATACTGAGATACAAATAAGAGTATGTATGAATAATAAAATAAAAGTTTCACCATACCAAGGAAATGGATGGGTCCATGTCATTTATAGACATTCGTTTGCTGCCACCAATTGGCACATGATAGGAACTATCATCAAATTTATGGCCATCAAAATTTACAGTTGGTTGTGTAACATGAGGATCTAGACAAATTAATTCATCACCTAAAAATATAAAGATAAATTATAAATTTAGAAATTATTAGACATAACACTTATAGAGGCGAAAATAATATATTACTAACTTGTATAACCAATAAACCATGTGGCATGTCTGGGTTTACCCCCAAGAATTCCAAGACTTTGCTTAATTTTGAAAGAATTCTGAAAATGAAACGTCTATTAATTTGTTGATTCTAAAATAATATTTTACTTAACAATTATTGAAAATGTTTCACAACTTTAAAACATAAATTTTATGTGGGACAAATATATAATATCAATAGCTTACTTTGATACTTTTTGTGTACACCGGATTAAAATTTGATACTCCTAATCGCAATGGAATGAAAAGAAGCATTGGCCGCCATGAAGATGATGGTTCTCTGTTAAGAACAGATGACATTGCTTGCCATCGCTGACATCTATGAGACTCACAATCAGTATACCAAACGGTTTGGCGAGGCATTGTGAATGGACTTGATGCTAATGGTTCTGGGTGATATCTACAAAGTGTTCCTAAAACAAAATAATTTTTTCCTTTAAAAATTCAAGACAGAAATATTTTTAATACGCTTGTTTACAAAAAACTGCGGACAGAGAAAAACTAACTTATCAAAACTAAATTGAAAAATTAAGGTTTGGCAAATTCTCAAATGAAATTGTGATGCGCCAGTTCATTATGAATCCATAATTCTAAGTGAACAATGGGTTTGAAGTCTTCAGCTCCAGTTCCTTCACCTTTCCACTTTCAATCATAGAGTGTGCAACTCAAATTTTTATTCCGTACATATCACTGCATGGAATTTTAAAATTGAAATAAAATACCCTTCATGTGCAAATAATTTTCAGGACTTTAAATATTGAGGTCTTTGAGTATTACAACAGAGATTTTATCCATTTTCAGTTGAGCCAGGATATAAAATTCTGGTTACTGGTGTCCTCTTAGTTAGCTTCTGTTGGTTATAAGCCGTTGTCAGCACACCGTGAAATTTAGCTTTACCCCCAGAGCAGAATTCATTACATACAAACCTTCTGATTTACAAATAAGTGTGCCAGCCTCTGAATCAATACAAAGAGAAAATTTTAGAATATGGAAAGATACCTAAATGCATTTTATACTGATAGATAATGGTCAGTCATGTTTAATCAAGTTGGATATGAGATATTGTAAGTAAAGGACGAAGATGGACACTCAGAAAAAAAAAATTCCTGGATTTTTCCAGACTAATTTTATTAAATTTGCCTGATTTTTGTAACCCATGGCATAATTTTTATCATTAATTAAGAGATACCTTATTCTTATATTACAAAACACTTATGCCATTAAGGTTGAAAATTAAAAAAATTTATTACTTTTTTTTTAGGAGATTAACTATTTTGGAGGAAAAAAAATTAGACTTTCACACGAAAATTTATTTATTTTCCTTGATATTTGAAAAATTTCAGCTAAATTCCCAGACATTTATCTGATTTTGCCAGATTGATAAAATTCACTGGCCTTTCCTTGTTTTCCCTGTTCCCTGGTCGCCTTGAAATGTGACATTATTACATAAAACTACAGTAAAAATTCGATATTATTTAAATTGCTAATTAATATCATACCTTATAAATGAAATGAAATTCACCCCCATTTCTCCCAAACAATGAAGTAAAGTAATAGAAATAATAAGGTTATTCCTTATTAAGCATGGCCTGGCAGTTAGTAAGTATAATTTTATAGTAGATAATCAAATTTTCACATTTGTACTATTATTTTAGTATATTTTACTAAGAGATGCTCAACAAAGATCATACAATTTACATTTTTCTGCCCTTTTGACTTGCAGAAGCATAAGACTGAACTTAACGAGTTGCTTACGTAATATTGAATAATAAACTCTTGTTTATACTATAAATTAACCCTAAATAGTATTCTTAAAATGCATTCCTGATTTATGCCAGCTTTGCAAAATTGAGCAGTCACCACAACACTTAAACATCTAAGTTAGCAAATATTAAATTGTGCTCTTTATATTTTAACAGAAATTTTAGAATGTTTTCCTTAAGTTACACTAATTTTATTGTAAAAGAAATATAAAAATAGGCATGTTTTCATTTATATAGCCTGAGTCCAAGGGCGCCAGCAGCGGGGTGCAAGATGGTGCACTTGCACTTCCTGGCTTTTTTTTAAAAACAATTAAAGAGATACAGAAAAACAATTTTGTTATAAAATTTTTTATTAAAAATATTTTTATTCAAAAACAAATAATTAAGTAATTATTGATACATAACAATTAAAAAATTGTCTAATTAAACAAGAATTGTAATCGTCTTGTTTGCTGTCCAAATCTTTTTATAACTTTTTCAATGAATTCTGAGTCATCTTTGATTATTTTCTTATGCACACTGAGCATGCACAAACTTGGCAGATATCTAAGCTATATTTTTAAATTTCTTTTAATAAAATATAAATAATATTATATTTTCCATTAATTATTTAGTTTAACAAAGGTGTATAACAGAAACTGACTTCTCCAACTGTAAAACTTCATCAACACAATAAATACCAATGTTAAGCATGCACAAACACGTTAGTATACAAAACTACTGTTTGTAGTTATTTGTGTTTCAAAGTCAGTTGCTATGCCAGCGCCATCAATACAGTTTCTAGTGGCAAAATTTACAAGTACGAGAAATTTGTACTTTTTTTAAATATCTTGTTAACAATGAAGAAATGTATGATGAAAAAAATTAACAGATGAAAGTATATGTAATAACAGAATATTTTAATTATTTATTATTTTTTGGAGGGGGGTAGTTTGTTTCGAGGGTTGCACCCCCTTTTATATTATTCTGCCGGCGCTCTTGCCTGAGTCAAATAATTAGCTTCAGAGTAACACTGATATAAGTTTTGTTTAGTTAACTAAGGCTAAAGGCTACATGAATACTAAGAGCAAATCAAAATATTCTTTTTCAAAACTATGGAAACAAGTGATCTAAGTTAAACACAATGAAGGGATCATACAGTGTTTTGGCATAAAAAATTTAGAGAATAAGACCATTATCATTTTAAAAATTATACATACTTATATCTGACTGAATCACAGAATTATCAAAAGCTACATGCACAGCAATACTACTCCATTCATCATACATGGACAACTTCCTGGAAAAAAAATAATGTTAAAAATATCTTAAAGTGTGATGAACAGTTTGAATTAAGTTGATTAAAAGATTTTGTTTCAAAAAGAATTGGTAGAAATAGCTTTTTTTAGCTATAAACAAATGACAGAATGAAACAGAAAAATTTTTTTAATTAAAATTTGCTACATTTTCTATAATTTGTAGTATAAGGTATGATGAAATATATTATGCTCAGAAACAAATTATAGATACGATAGAAAATCAATATGATAGCTATAACAGCAGGGGTATTTGAACAAAATAATTTTAATAAATATTCTTTAAAAAAAAGCCAATGAAAAAATATATTGATAAAAGCAACTACATACATACGAAAAATAGGATTAACTGCTTTAAAAGGAATGGATATGGAAATAAAATTTGATTATTACCTTAATACTTGAGCGATAGTGTTTGGTCCAAACCATTCCCCGATGGTCTTTTTTTCAGAAACTCCCATTTGGGCTAAAATGAGACATTAAGTTTAAGGAATTTCAACGATATAATTTAAGAACTATGAAGTTTATTGATTGCACAGAATACACTAAAAAAGCTTTACTGGAGATTTTCAAAATCTTTCATTTTAAGAAAACCAAAGAATTATGTATCACAGATGTTGTAGTCCTGGATAAAGTAATCCTTTTCAAAATAAATAATTTTTAACTAGCATTTGAAGATATTGCTTTAATTTTTTTTAATATAAGTTATTAACTGTCTCTTTAAATAAGATGCATTTTTTCCTTTTTGTACGAATGTATATGTCTTTTAAATTTTTGTTAGTAGTAGTTATCACTTAAGTCCAAAAATTAAGGTACAGTCACTTTTTTGAGGACAGCTTAAGAAATTAGGAAAAAAAAATCTAGCAAAAGTTACAGTCTGCCAAAAAAAAAAAAAAAAANAAAAAAAAAAAAGAAATATGGGCCACCCTGAATTGCTTTTGGTCTAATGATAAAATTTTCATATTCTAGGACTCAATGTTCATGCTTTGGGAGGTAGGACCTCAAATATGCTAATTAATTAGAGCAGAAGATGTCTTAAGTTATGAAATCGTACACAAAAGGTACTTTCTCTGAATAAACATACCATTTTTTCGACAGATTAGAATTTCTGATCACTAAGATATAGGGGGTAGTCGAAATCTGAGAAATATGGTCCCAATAGTTTGGTCAGGACATTACTCCAAAGTTTAAGCCCCTAAAATCTCAATTTTAGATTTTGCATATTCACCATATCTCGAGGACTTTTTAAACAAATTGAAAAAACTTTGCATATAGTTATAAAATTTATTAATCTAATAATAATTTTCAGTAAATATTAATTATTTTTTATTATTTCATTTAATAATAGTAAAAAAAAATTTGAATTGTAATGTATAAAATTTTTTACATAATTTTAAACTACATATTTTACATGGCAAAATACGAAATTTGAGCAAAATCGATTGAATAGTTCCTGAAAAACCGAATTTTAAATATACAACTTTTTTAAAATTTGATTTCTCAAGAGCCTTTCAATTAAAAATTTTTTCGACTATTATTAAATAAAATTATAAAAAATAATACATATTTACTAACATTTATTTTTTGCACAAAATTATGTTTGGACGAACAAATTTTATAAATTTGTGCAAATATTTTTCAATTCGCTAAAATGGTGAAATATGAAAAAAATAAAATTAACATTTAGAGTTCCAGATTTTTGATTGTTCTCCTGACCAAACTATGAGGACCATATTTCCCAGGTTGCAATTAACCCTTATATTTTGGGGGTCAGAAATCCAAATGCATAGAAAAAAAGGCATGTTTATTCAGAGAAAGTATGATTTTGTGTTTCATTTTGTAACTGAAAATATTGTCTGCATTAATTAATTAGTACAGTTGAGGTCATTCCCGTAAACCATTAAGATTGAGTCCTAGAACATGAAGATCTGATCATTAGATCAAAGTTTATTCAGAGTGGTCCTTTTTTCGTGGACTGAACATTAAAGTGCATCAAAGTATGACAAAAAGTGGTATAAAAAAGGTAATGGCACAATTGCAAAGTCCTCAGTTTATGGGCAAAATATCACAAAAATAATGCTACAAATCAGAATTTGTGAAAGACTTATTATGGGACATAACCTCCCTTCCTGATGGCAATACAGATCTCATGCTGTTTATAAGAATGACAAATATTTTTGATAGAAATACTCATTCTTTCATTAAGGTAGTTCTTGCCCCTGAGCGGTTTCTATAAAGAGGATAATAAAACAAGCATCAACAGATTTTTAGGGACATATATAAGATTATTGAGAAGTGCTGTCAGTTTCTAGTTAAATTTTATGGATGAAAACAGGTGGGTTAACTGAGGAATACGTTGAAGCTAAAAATACCAAAGGATGGTGTAGTTAACCAGACCTGAATTTTATAGATCATGCTTAAGGAAATTTTCTTCTAGAAACTTCACAAAATTAAGAATTAACTTAATAAAAAAGAGGGGTTTATTGCTCCAAAACATTAGTCAACTATTCAACCATCTTCAGAGTTTTTAATGAGACTGGCAATGCCATCAGAGGGTCAAACACCATATTAAACCCTTCCCAAGTGCCATATGATTACATAATTTTTTGACTGTCATGCAGTGATGCACAGTAATTTATGGTTTTAAGTTTATGGCTTTTTGTTATTGTTTTAGTTTTTTTTATACCTTGATATATTTCCATATGAAATTTCACTCAATTTGGTTCAGTACTTCCTGAGTTCTCCAAAAATGTTCTTGTTCCATAACTTATGGATGAGTGTATCTCTAATCAGTATACAAATTATGATGCCATTTTGTCACACTTTTTATTTTATTTTAATAAAGCACTATCCTTATTTAATGGGGCAACAATGAACACCTGATTTGATGTTGAAAATTAGTATTCAAAAAGTAAAGTGAAATAACTACACAAATGTAAAATCCTTTATTATTTTTGCATTAATCAGTGTTTGATATCAAATTATTATTAATGAAATACATAAAGTTGCATAGACATTACAACTGGTTTTTTCACTTTTATTTTATTGAAGTCTTGTAAGGAAATTTATTACAAAATTTAGAATCAAGAACAAATATTAAATAGTTCACTTTTTTGTAATCTAAAAACATTTTCTGACCACCACGGTGCTCATTTTACTTCAAACGACAAACAGAATAATAATCAAGAAAATGTAAACAAGAGCTTAAATAAGGGACTTTTCTTATTGGGTATTATGCTTTTATAATTTTGACAAATATTTGTAATAGATTTGTATTATTATGTAATAATAATTGTCGATTATTTTTTGATTTAATGATTGAAAATTATTCATTTTGAAATAAACCCAGGGAGGGTGTAGCTGAAAGAACAAAGATCAAAAGAGCATTTTATTCCTTTAAATTACAATGAGCAAGGGATACATGATTTAGCTAGCTGCAATAACTGTTAATTATTGCCCAGGATATAATTCTCTCTTAACTTTAGAAATTTAAACTGAGCAGGCCATGAGAAGTTAGAAACAGCTATTTTATAAAATTAAAAGATTGGAGCAATTATTTAACAGTTCGGAAAAAATATGTAAATGAGTTAGCAGTTAAAGAAATAATATTTATTGATAAAACTTGATTTCTGTTTGAATAGCATGATTACGGAGAAAAAGATATTAATGATTATGTTTATTCAGAAGAGTATTCAATGAAATAAACATTTAATGATTAAATGATAATAAATATGTAATGATAATAAATAAGTAATGACAATAAAATTTTNGTTTGGTCCAAACCATTCCCCGATGGTCTTTTTTTCAGAAACTCCCATTTGGGCTAAAACAACACATGGAGTTTTAAGAAATTCAACGATATATTTTAAGAATTATGAATTTTATTAATTGCATAGGATGCACTAAAAAAGTTTTACTGAAGATTTTAAAAAACGTTCATTTTAAGAAAACCTATGAATTATGTACTACAGATGTTGTAGTCCTGTCACGATAAAGAAATCCTTTTCAAAATAAATAATTTTTAACTAACATTTGAAGATATTGTTTTAATTTTTTTAATATAAGTTATTATAACTGTCTCTTTAAATAAGATGTATATTTTCTTTTCGTACGAATGTTCATGTCCTTTAAATTTTCGTTAGTAGTAGTTATCACCTAAGTCCAAAAATTAAAGTACAATCACATTTTTGAGGATAGCTTAAGAAATTATGAAAAAAAATCTAACAGAAGTTACTGTCTGCCAAAAAAAAAGAAAAAGAGATTGAATTACTTTTGATCTAATGATCGAATTTTTACATTCCTGGACTCAATGTTAATGCTTCGGGAGGGAGGGGGGAACCTAAAATATGCTAATTCATTAAAGCAGAAGATGTCTTAAGTTACCCAAAATACACAAAAAGCACCTTCTCTGAATAAACATACCATTTTTTTGACAGATAAGAATTTCTGATCCCTAAAATAAAGGGGGTAGCCATAATCTTAGAAATATGGTCCCAATAGTTTGGTCAGGAGAGTACTCCAAAGTTTAAGCCCCTTAATCTTAATTTCAGATTTTGCATATTCACCATATCTCGAGGACAAAACTTTGCATATAGTTATAAAATTTATTAATCCAATAATAATTTTTAGTAAATATTAATTATGTTTTATTATTTTATTTAATAATAGTAAAAAAAAATTTGAATTGTAACGTATAAAATTTTTTTATATAATTTTAAACTACATATTTTACATGGCAACATATGAAATTTGAGCAAAATCGATTGAATAGTTCCTGAAAAATTGAATTTTAAATATACAACTTTTTTAAAATTTGATTTCTCAGGTGCCTTTAAATGAAAAAAAATTTTCAAACTATTATTAAATAAAATTATAAAAAATAATAAATATTCACTAAAATTTATTTTTTGCACGGAATTATCTTCGGACAAATGAATTTTATAATTTTGTGCAAAACTTTTTTTAATTCGCTTAAAAAGTTCTCAAGATATGGTAAAATATGAAAAAGTAAAATTAACATTTAGAGATCCAAATTTTGGATTGCTCTCCTGATCAAACTATGAGGACCATATTTCCCAGGTTGCGATTACCCCCTATATTTTGAGGGTCTGAAATCCAAATGTTTGAATAAAAGGCACGTTTATTCAGAGAAAGTATGATTTTGTGTTTGATTTTGCAACTTAAAATATCGTCTGCATTAATTAACTGGTATATTTGAGGTCATTCCCTTAAACCATGAAGATTGAAACCTAGAACATGAAGATTCCATCATTAGATTAAAAGTTATTCAGAGTGGTCCTTTTTTTTGTGCACTGAACATTAAAGTGCATCAAAATATGACAAAAATGGTATAAAAAAAGATAATGGCACAATTGCAAAGTCCTCAGTTTATGGGCAAAATATTACAAAAATAATGTTGCAAATCAGAATTTGTGGAAGACTTATTATGGGACATAACCTTCCTTCCTGATGGCAATACAGGTCTCATGCTGTTTATAAGAATGAAAAATATTTTTGATACAAATACTCATTCTTCCATTAAGGTAGTTCTTGTCCCTGTGAGGTTTCTATAAAGAGGATAATAAAACAAGCATCAACAGACATGAAATTTTAGGGACATATGAAAGTTTATTCAGAAGTGCTGCCAGTTTCTAGTTAAATTTTATGGATGAAAACAGCTGGGTTAACACAAGAATACGTTGAACCTAAAAATATCCAAAGGATGGTGTAGTTAACCAGACCTGAATTTTATGGCTCATGCTTAAGGAAATTTTCTTCTAGAAACTTCCCAAGATTAAGAATTAACTTAATGAAAAAGAGGGGTTTATTGTTCCAAAACATTAGTCAACTTTTTCAACCATCTTGAGAGTTTTTAATGAGACTGGCAATAACACCAGAGGGTCATACACCATATTAAACCCTTCCCAAGTGCCATGTGAAATTTCAATCAATTTTGTTCAATATTTCTTGAGTTCTCCTAAAATGCCCTTGTTCCATAACTTACGGATGAGTGTATCTCTAATCAGTATACAAATTATGAAGTCATTTTGTCACACTTTTTATTTTATTTTAATGAAGCACTATCCTGATTTACTGAGGCAACAATGGACCCCTGATATGATACTGAACATTAGTATTTAAAAAGTAAAGTGAAATAACTACACAAATGTATAATCTTTTATTATTTTTTCATTAATAAGTGTTTGATATCAAATTATTATTAATGAAATACATAAAGTTGCATAGACGTTATAATTGAGTTTTTTCACTATTATTCTATTGAAATCGTGTAAGGAAATTTATTACAAAATTTAGAATTAAGTACAAATATTAAATAGTTTACTTTTTTGTAATCTAAAAACATTTTCTGACCACCGTGGTTTTAAATATTTTTTTCATAAAATTATACTAGTTATAAAGCATTATATTAAAATAAATTTCGTTTCTCATCTTACTTCAAACAGAATAGTAATAAGTTAAATATAAACAAGAGCTCAAATAAGGGACTTTTCTCATTAGATATTATGCTTTCATAATTTTGACAAATATTTGTAATAGATTTTTATTATTATATAATAATAATTTTCGATTTAATAATTGAATGTTATTCATTTCAAAATAAACCCAGGGAGGGTGCAGCTGAAAAACAAAGATCAAAAGAGCATTTGCTTTCTTCAAATTACAATGAGCAAGGGATTCATGATTTAGCTAGTTGCAATAACTGTTAATTATTGCCAAGGTTCGTCCGGTTCTCTCTTAACTTTAGAAATTTAAAGTGAGCTGGCCGTAAGAAGTTAGAAACGACTATTTTATAGAGCTAAAACATTGGATCATTTATTTAACGGTTTAGAAAAAATATGTAAATGAGTTACAGAAAGAATACTTATTTATAAAACTTGATTTCTGTTTGAATAGCATGATTACTGAGAAGAAGATATTAATGATTATGTTTATTCAGAAGAGCATTCAATGAAATAAACATTTAATCATTAAATGATAATAAATATGTAATGATAATAAATAAGTAATGACAATAAAATTTTAAACTAACTAAAATATCAACTTAACTATTAACATTACTTAAAAATTTCAAAAACTTAAAATAAAAGTAGAGAGAAATATCAAATTAAAATTTTTTTTAGATTCTAAGAAAGAATAAATATTTTAGAAATATATTCACTGAAATGTTAGTAGAAAATACAAATTAATTAATTAACAAAAAATTAAACCAAAATTTTTCGTTCGAATATTGTGAAAAACTACCAGACTGTCTAATCTAATCTTAAATCCGACTTGTTAAGGGGTAAAAAAAAAAAATGCTCGATAACTGTTGCCATTAAAGAAATGTAAAAGAATAGACAAAATAATCATATGATACATTTTTAGAACAATCTATAAAACAGGTCAATGAATACATACTTTTTAATTGGAAAATATATGATTGTTGGAAAAAAAAATTAAAAAAATATTTCAGCATATTTTTTACTTTATTCATTGTGAATTATTCAATTTCCGCAAAAATACATTATCAAATACAATAACAATTAGATTAATGAAGGTAAGACAGATATAGATACACACATATACATATATATTTACCAATTTGGTGAATGGAATAAGGACAATCTTTTTTATCTTGAAACATTTTTAAAATCTCTTTATACACTGGATCAATCACCCCTGGTGTCCACTGCCATCCTGTAATAATAATATATTAATGCCACTATATTAATATAACAGCCATCTGTAATTTAACAATATTTCAATTTTATTACAGAAATTCAACCACTCATTAAATTTTAAACATATTTTATATGCAACAAAAAATACATAGTTGATGCAGCAAAAAAAAAAAGTTATTTTACTTTCCAAGATATTTTTTGAACTTCAAAAATATTTATTTATCAATTCAATATCTTTTTTACAAGATAATAAATTTTTTGCAGAGTAATAACTTTGAAGAAAATTTTAACAAACTATCATTTTTTAAATTGTAACAGATTTTATTTGAATTCAATAAAAATGCACCTCTTCCAAGATGACGACAAATCAATGCCTCAGCCATAACCATTTGGCCACAACGTAGCATGCAACCCCAGTACTTATCGGTTTTTGGTCCAGTTCCACCTATAAGATAAAAGCAATTAGATAATCAAAATGGACTTTTACATGTAGATATTTGCAAAACTAAACAGTTCATGGTTTAATAAATATAAAACTTTTGAAAAGTATTTATGATTAAAACAAGCAGTTGTTGATGCTAGAACATCTGTCCCTAGTTGCTAAAAAAACAAAAATGATAATTCTATTAAAAATTGGAATTTATTTGTAATTTTATAAATGTTTATATTTTTCTTTATTTGTTTAAAAAAAATCTTTTTACATAAAAAAAAACTTTTTTTCCTAGTTTTATCTAGTAAAGAACAAAATTAAAAAAAAAAAAAGTTTCTATGGTTAATGGTATTAAACTGTCTTGTATTTCTTAATCAGTAAAACAATATCTATTGAAACTTTAGTTTTTGCTTTTCAGATACGTAGTTTCTTGATCTGAGATGAGATTGATTTTTAACATTGAATTGAAAACATTCAGTGCTAGGTAAAAAAACCCTTTTAATTACATGGAAAACTTAGGTATTTATGACTTGTTTGCATATTTCTTATCTATTTAATTTTACAATATCTTCATCAATGTTTTTATATCAAAAACTTCTGGTTTCACTTTAAACTTTGCTAATTATTATTAAAAAATATTGTACACCTGACAATTTTGACCATTATGCACATGCAATTATTTATTATAAACATTTTTTTTTATTGATATACTTTCAGTTTATAAAAAAGTTTTTTATGTATAAAATCTTTGATTTCTAAGATGACATTTTATGAAAAATAAAAGTCAAAATTGATGAGGAAAAAAAATGAGTTTAGATAAATTACAATTGTAGATCATAAGCAATATTTGGTACAATTGCATTTTCATACAAAAAAAAAACAAAAAACATTCAGTTGAAATGTTATAACATAGATAAAAGTCAAGACGACTTTCACATTTTCATTCTTTATCGTAATTAAAATATAAATTTAAAAAAAAAACAATTAAACTTAATTTCATTGAACTAATCAATATGATAAACATAAGAAAACTGTTTATTGCAATGTTTATTAAGAAATTATAACATTTTGAAAACAATTACATTGTTATTATTTGTTAACTTAGCTGATTAACTTGCTTTTTCAATTCTTCGTTGATTTGAAATCTATTAATAATGATTCATAATTTAAATTTCATGAAAAATTATAAAATAAAGGTTATACCTATAGCAGGAAATCCACTTCGATAAGAAAACCATAATTTGCTTCTTATTGTACTTCTTAAATCTTCCAAATCTAATAATAAAATGCATAACATTATGGAAAAAAACTAATTTATGAAAAAAGTGAATTATAAAATAAATTCAAGTTAAAGAATCAGAAAAACAAAGTATTATTAAAATAATATTCACTATGGTTACAAATATTCACTAAGCATTATAAAAATAATATTCACAAAACAACACAGTGTCATGGTAACATGAAAACAACTCTTATTGGTGAATTCAGGGAAAAAAACAAACAAACTAGTACTTAAAACTTTGGTTTAATGATATTGTATGAATGTTCTAGAAAAAAGCACACCAAGAATAAAATGGCATAATAAATAAACATCTAGGAAATTTTTTATTTTATTAGATATTTAATTATATTGTAACAATTTACCGTGCAATGAATTATATTTCTTGCCAAGAATCCATACATCATCTAATGAGAATGGGAAATCTGCACTATCTTTCTTACTATGAATAGATGTTTGACCTAGGTAAAAGTTAATGAAATACATAAATCTAAGGATCAACTTTATAATTTAGAAGAAGAAAAAGCAAAACAATATTTTAGCTTTTTTTTCGTATTTTAAAGTTAATCTAAAAATTATACCAAACTTAATTGATATATTTTTTAAATACCTTATTTTGATGACATTTATATATATATATTGGATAATTTGAGAGAGATCGGTTGAATAGTTCCTGAGAAATCGAATTTTAAAATAAACAACTTTTTTAAAATTCAATTTCGCAGGATCTATTTTATCAGTTGCAATTTTTATCGTTTTATCCATTTATTTTTCACTATTACTATTCCAGTTTAGTTCCATCAATATGGCTTCTACTATGGCACAAAAATATAATATCATAGTGAGAATGAAATAAGGAAGTCTTATTATACAAAGTTTATAAAAGAATATGAACTTTTGAAATTAATGAAATCAGCTCGAGATTCAGAATTTGTTACTGTTCGGTTCATTAAAAGAAGCAAAGAAGTACTACTATCTGGGGAAAAAATGCCTATGAATTTTTAAATAAAATATCTATATAAAATATCTGTATGAAATATCTTTATGTCTATTTGAAAAAAAAAGATATTATTCAAATAAATTAATAAAATTAACATTTAAATATTATATATTACTATTATTGAAAAACCCTAGATTTCCAAAGTTTACTGTTGAAAATAAATTATAAAATGATGTCATCACCATAATTAGAATACTTTGATAATTTAAAGTAGATTTGGTCTCATTAACTTCAAACAATCAAGTAAAAATAATTTTTACATCACATAATTCATAAGCAATTTATAATTACAACGAAAATAACTTTGGAGATAAAAAAAAATACTTTTCTAAGTAAATTAGCTTTTTGTAATTTAAAGATTAAATTCACTTTATTAATTCTTGTATATTAATTAAAAGAATAAACACAAATAATTAAAATTCTATAAGAATATACACAAATTCTATTTTGTTTTGTTATTTCTATTTTACGCTAATATTTGAAACATTTAGATGAACCAACATAAAAAAATTAAATATATATTACCATTTGCACTAGAAAAAAAGTTGTATAAATCCATGTGTAGTATATAAATTATTTCAGCTTTCCTCATATAAATCCATGTTGCTATGAGACAGACAGAAAACAATAAGCAATATTCTCCAGATTATTAATATAGTATTAAAACAAGGTACATATTATAGTAAGTACATATTATTAAAACAAGGCACTAATTTGTTTTAGGGGGATGGAGCATCAAATATAAACCTAACATTTATTGACACTAATGATGCTTAATCACTTATAATTTATCATAATTGATTATTGGTAATAAGTGCTCCGAGTATTACGATAACAGATTCTTAAAATATTATAATATAGGTATGATGGTGAATGATACTTAATATATACTAATATAAGTACAATAGCAATACATTTGCTTATGGGCCTTCACTAAATTTAATTATGAATATTACTAAAACATTATTTTAAAAATGAAACATTTAAAATAATATTAAAAAAAAATAACAGTTACTTTCCTAATTCAATAATTATTGTCTATTTCCTAAAAAGTAAATTTGAGTAAAATGAAAGCTTGGTATTTTAATCACAATGAAACATTATTATTTTCAATATTTTTATAACTAGAAATGGAGACATGTTTTTCTTTTATTAATAATAGAGGCTTACGTCTGAATCCCTAGCAGTTGCCCCCTTTATCTTATTCTTAGGCCTTGAAAATATTTTTAGTGAGTCAAATGAAAATGAGAGCCATAAAAAGAGAGAAAATTGTACACTTAAAACACTTTTAATTTTCAATGTTTGAACAACTACAGAGTGGAACAGATATTTAAATAGTAATGTTACATGTAAAATACACATCATTTCACATAAATATATTTACGGATAAAAAGTGTGGATAAATGTTGACAGCCAAACTCGCTAATAACAAACCCTGATTTAACGAAAAACCAGATTTAACAAAAAATCTAAAATACTTGGTTGGTATTATCTCGGTGCATTGCTTGCTTTTAACAAGCAAATCCCGATTTTAGCGAGAAATATTTTTTTTTTTAATTTATAAGAATTCCTATACTTCCACTTCTCCGGCTTAGTTAATATCTTCTTGAAAAAATTCATTTAACAATCTGAAGTCAATTGAAAGTTAGTGATGACTTTTAGGAACTAGTTAGTGCAAACTTATGAAATTTCTTTTTCAAATACCGACAAGCAATATCCTCTAGACCTACATTAATTTAGACATGTATCGTTGAGTTATTTCAAAAATATAGTGGATAAATATGTAGTTAATATTAAAAACTATGAAAAATATCGTAAAACGTAATAACTCGTAGATGTGCTAAATTACAATGATATTATAATTTTACACATTTCTTTGTACAGTTTATGATCAACAGAATTAACTAATCACTTACTTTTTAATTTTTAAAGAAATATAATAAACAGGAATGACCCATATTTTTTGTATTTCAAAATAGACATATGTTCATAATAATAAATTCTATAATTCTCTTAGTTAATAGAACCAAAAAATTTAAATAAAAAATAATTAAGTTTTATAGATGACTTATCAGAAGTTAAATATTTCACAGAAAACTGCAAAAAGTTTAGGAAATTCTTTGTTTATTTATCCTTGTCTATTTATATTTTTTTTATTTACTTACGTAATCGATTCCGATGAAAATTAAATAAGTGCCATCTGATTCCTTAAATATGTTATCGCTGATAGTTCTGTTATAGATTTTAAAGACTTGATAATAAGAGATCGTTTCTAAATTTTAGAAATGCATAGTTAAATTTGTGTAATTTAAATCTAAAAGTTACATAAAATTTGCACGAACATTTTTGCTTCTCGAAAAATCATACATTAAAAACGTATGCACTGTACATAGGGTGAAACAGTTTAATCGGTTTTGAAACATGTATCTTTACACCTTCGTATAGAAAAATTCCATTTTTTTCCACTCCGTTAGATTCGTTTATTCTCAAAGGGTTGAGCTCTTAAATTAAATTTAGTTTCTATCATCACGGTAACCGCTGGTTTATTTCTTGTTATTTTTGTGTTTTATTTTCGGTCTTATTTCTTAATTCTAATTATCATCTTACTCTGTAATTTCATGTAATGTGCGATTTGTGAAAACAATGATATATTTTTTAATAATTTAACATCAATCTGTTTAAGTCATGGAGGATGATTCGGAAAATGTTGTTTTTTATGAAGCGATATTAAAAAATCTTAGAATATTATCAAGTGTATTTTGGAGTTTCCCGTTCACATATGTGTCGAAAATATTCTCAGGACCTGGTTATAATAGGACATCGAAATTTGAAATATTTCTTACCATATTTGCTGTAATTACAACCGTTGTAGTCTTCTATCATTCATTCGAATTTTTGCGTAGGATTCTGTATAAACTATACCCTGTGAGACTTAGAGGCTTTCTTTTTGGTTCAAGAAAAAGTAAACATTCATGGGAATATTCAAAAGACAATTGCTTTGTTTATGCGATTAAAGGACGAAGAGCCAAAATGGAAGATAGATTTAGTGTTATAATTGATAATGAAAGTGGAATATCTCTTTATGGTATCTTTGATGGCCATGGAGGAGAGGTAAACATCTTCAACTATCTGCCAATCGCTGAATATTGCAATCATTTACGAAAATTTTATCATATAATAGTTGCCATGATTAAAAACTTATAGATTATTTTTAATTTGAGCAAATTGTATACAGGAGTAAAAATTTAATCACTGGATCTTTTGAGAAACTTAAAGGTATTAAGTCTGTACATACTCTCACAGATCCATTCTCAGAGCATATTTTGGTATTGGTACTCAACTAACTACAATCGCAAAGACATCATTAGATTTTTGAACAGTCAAAATTTTTTAAAAATAAGTGTGTAATGGTTTGCTTGAAAGATGACTACAAGTTAAACGCTTGAGGTGGTCCACTTTTGAGATATTGTTTTTAGTTTCTCTAGAGGAAGTATACAAATTTGGCTATTATTTTGGTGCTCGTAAGAATGCAGAGATCTTCCTTTGAATTTTATATTTAAAGGAAAATAAGAGTTATTAATGTGAAATTTAACAAAAAAATAAAGAAAAACAGTAAAATATTTACAATTATGAAGAGTTACGCTATTTCGTAACACATATTAGCATGCCAAACCTTTTTACATGAATAAATACAGTGGTCGGTGTTACTATAATTTTTTTGCTGGTTCTTTTATGACAGCAGTTCTAAACCAGCTTTAATTTTGTGCTAAGCATTATTTGCTTTAATTGATGCGAGGGTATCGTGGAGATTCGTTTAAGTCATTATTATTAAGTGTATGCTTTGATAAACATATGAAACAATCAGACAATTTTTTTAAGTTATTTGTTTTAAATAAGATGGCTTTTCATATTTTACTTAATAATTATTAATTCTGATTTCATTTATTTAATATGTTACTCTTACTCTGTATTTTAATTCTTGTGATTATTAATTATAGTCACTAAATTAGTAATAATATGTGATGTCTGGTAAAAGCTTTTATTTTAATATTAAATTAGTAATGTAAAGAGAAAACGAGGCTACATACACACAAATTTTATCTAATGTTGCAGATTCCATGATATCTTAAGACACGGCTAAGGGGCAATATTGAAAGTATACTGTATTATAATTTTTGAAATGTTAGTTGTTAAACTATAATTTTTTTATTTGTTCATAAACAAAAATGTTTATAGTGTAAATTACAAGTAATAAATTTTTTAAACCAATGTTTTGCAAAAATTTGTTTGTATGAATACTTAAATATTTTATTGTGTTTTAGTTTGCTTCAGAATTTGTTGAAAAGCATCTATTTAAAGAATTATTAAAAAAACTTCAAGAAGTTGTACAGAATAAACCAGAAGACAAATTAACCAGTGAATTTGCTCGAATTTTAACAGATCGTATTTTAGAAATAGATGTAGAGCTACTTGCTAAAGTTAAAGCCGCTAAAGATGTTGCAGGTAACACAGCATGTGTAATAAATTTTGTATACATTTGTAATTATTTTTTTCTTTTATTTTACAGTGACTTCATTGATTTTTTATGAATATTAACTAACTCACAGGCATTACAGTCCATGTTTGACCATGGTCTCACTAACAATTTTCTTCCAAAGTCACCTGTCTCTAACTCTTTGTTTCCAGTTTCGGACTTATGGAGTCTGTAGGTCTTTTTCCACCTCGTCTAACCATCTCTTGGTCGGACTTCCTCTTTTCCTTTGGCCCTGGCACTGCCCCTTGAAATATCTTAGTGCCTCTGTTTTCCTCCATTCTCTCAAGGTGTCCTAGCCATTGAATTCGTTTTGCTTTTATATAATTGATTATATCTTTTTCTTTAAATAGTCTTGCAATTTCAAAATTGTATCAACTTCTCCACAGATCACCCTCTCTGACAGGTTCAAAAATAGTTCTAAGAATTTTTCTTTCCCAGTTAATCAGCATTTTTTCTTGTTTCTGGGCTGGAATCCATGTCTCTGATCCATAAATAACGGTTGGTCTGATTTTAGTTTTATAAACCTAAAGCTTTGTTTTCCTTGTTATTACTTTTAGCAATCTCTTAAGTGCAAAATAACTGCAATTTCCAGCATTTAGTCTTTGCTTAATCTCTGGCATAATATCATTGTTTTCAGGGACAACAGAACCCAAGTTCAGTGATACCTCGAGATACGAGTTTAATTCCTTCCGTAACCTTGCTCGTATGTCAATTTGCTCGTATCTCAATTTGCTCGTATCTCAAAGCAATTTTCCCCATTGAAATTAATTGAAATGCCATTAATCCGTTCCAGCCCCAAAAATGCTACCCCCAATTGTTTTTGTTACGTGTTTCTGAATAAGAAAAATACATTTATAAATGACAAATATTGTATAAAAGCATTATAAAAGAGAATGTAAAGCAAAAAAACTAGTTTTATAAACTGTACATACATATTTGGTCACTTAAATGCAACTTACACACAACTTAAATGCTACTGCCTGCTTAATTTTAGTCACTGCTTTTCACTTCACTGGTCTTTGCTTTTTTAACCGGATTAAGAAAAAAAAAACTGTCCAAGGAGGTTTGTTTCTTCCTCCTTTTCAGAATGGTGCAGAAATGAGTTAGGCAAGTGTCTTAAATATCTCCGATGTACGACCAATTGCAACTTTTTCGGGGTGTTTCTTTTCCACGAACTGTGAAATTCTCTTCCACATTCCCAAGGACTCTTTTATATCACTTTTAGAAATAACCTCCTCCACCTCTAGCTCTTCCTTGAAACCAATTTCTTGTAGAACTCCCGAATGCTGCTGCGACTGTAACTTGCAATTGCTCGGTCGTCAGTTCCTGAGAGTGCTCCTCGGCGAGCTCGTTTACGTCCCTCTCACCCATCACCAGGTCCATAGATTTCCCCAGAGACACAATTTCCTCCTCCACTGGCACTTCGGGTTCGAATAATTCGAAGCTACCGACCCAGGCGACAGCACAATTTTCGGCTACAGATTCTTTCATGCACAGGTCAAGGTCCTCGTTATAACTCAGACAGGCCTGATCAATAATTCTGAGGCATATCACGGTGTTAAGGTGGTTCTTCCAGTACTCTCGAAGGGTGAGGTTTGTGTTCTCTGTCACCTCAAAGCAGAGCCGGAACAGGTGCTTAGTTTACAGCTTTTTAAAATTAGAAGTCACCTGCTGATCCATGGGCTGCAGGATAGGAATGGTGTTAGGTGGTAGATAGAAAACCTTTATAAACTTGAACTCCTCGAGTATGTCATGTTCGAGGTTCGGTGGGTGAGCAGGAGCATTGTAGAGGACGAGAAGGGCTTGCATGACCGTTCCTCGTATCTCAAATGTCCCTCGTATCTCAAAACAAAACTTCGCTCGTTCGACAGCTCGTATCTCAAATAACTCGTATGTTAGGGCACTCGTATTTCGAGGTACCACTGTACTTAAATTCCCTAACTCTTTCAAATTTTGTCATTTCATTAATTTGTAGTTCTGTGTCTATATCCATTCCCTTGGAATCCATTAACATGTATTTGGTCTTATCGATATTTATTTCTAAACCAAAAAGACTAGCTTCTTTGGTTAAGTCTTTAAAAGGGTCAACAAGTGCATTTTTATTTCTTGCTATCAATATTACATCATCGACAAAAGCAAGAACTTGTTTCGTTCCATTAAAAATAGTACCTCCTCTATTTGATGCTGTGCCACGCATCACTTTTTCAAGGCATACATTAAACAACAAGGTCGATAGAATGTCACCCCGTCACAGTATCAAATTCCCTGGACATTTTGTTTTGTACCTTTTTATGAATATTTGAAATAAAATATAATATAATATTTAAAAATATTTGAAAGGAAAAAAAGGACATTTTTTGAGTTTGATTAAAGAAATTATTTGCAATAGCTTATTATTGAATTCTATTTTGAAAGTAATTATTTATATGTAGGGTTCACCCCAGCAATGGAAATTTAGTCGTCCACTAGGACCACTTAGGCATTCTTTTTGTGATCCAAAAACTTATTATGGTAAACTTGAGGGATAAAAATCGAACTGTACAATTACATAATTCATGTTATGTTACCCATCAAAAGTTATTTATTGCCTTTTACAACACTCTTAAGCTCAGAATAACATAGAACTCTCTCAAGGTTCATTAGCTCATAAATATTGAAGATTAGAATTTATTAAAATTAAGTGTAAAAAAGCTAAAATAATATTAGTAAATAGATTCAGCATAGAGATTAGAATGCTGAGACCAAATAAATAAATAAATGAGGAAAACAGAAAGTAAGAACTGACAAAATATCACATTTGAAATAAATTATCTAAAAATTATAAAATTATTTCTAAATATAATTATAAACCAATTATAATATCAGTACATGAATCATTAAGCACAACATGTAAATTTGAAATTTCTCCGTTTAAATTTAAATTTTTTTTGTATAGTTATTTGTTTTTCTGTTATTCCATTTGAATACTACATATTTGAATTCCACACCATGCATAAAACAACATAATTAATACAATAAATTTTTTAAATACATGGCATTTGTTCCAAAAAAATATTTTTTGTTACTGTTTTGTGAATTCCAAACATATTTAAAACCGACAAATTTGTTGTTTATATGCATGATTTTAGCAAATTTTGTGGAATGTTTGGCGACAATTGTTGCCATATTGGCGTGAATCCTGATTATATATAACTACTCATTTTTGATGGCTCTATATATGTCTAAATAGTTTTTCTGGACACAAAAGAAGCAATTTATTGTAAAAATTAAGTAATCAGTAATTATTAAATCAGTAAATATTGAAGAAATAGTAATAATTGAAAAACTTCTGTAATAATATAAATATTAACTTTCTCTTTTATTTATTCTTTTTTTTTCTTCCCATTTTAAACTTGAATCCCTTATAGTTAAAATTGATGATTGTTTGTTAGTAAAACTACATAGAAATTCAAAGTAGGCATATCAAATATAAACTAATTTTCTTTCTTTTTCTAGCCTTGATTAATGTTGATTTGGTGAAATGTATTTTAAAACCAAAGAAATTTTGTGTTCACAATGTGAACAAATATTTTTAATTTTGATCCATTCTGAACTATGAAGAAACCAAAGAAACTTCTGTGTTCCCAATGAACGAAGTTTGCTTAATTAAAATTTCATACAGTATAGTTCTGGAAGAAATTTAAAATATATTTTAAAATCAATAAGTTTAAATTTTTTAGAGAGATTTTTCCAAATTCAGCCAAAAAATTCCAGTAAATTTTTTTTGAAAAGCTTCTTTATGATTAAAAGTTTATAGAGTAAATTATTAAATATCATTTTGTTTCATTATTCCATTAAGCTTCTTGGATATAATGAAAAATGAAAGAAAATCAATCAAAAATAAAATATTTATTGTGCAATTTCTACAATTTAATGTAAATTTATTAATTAAGAGACGATAATTTAAATCTCATACATATTTAAATGAAATTGTTTTAAGAAACAGATTTCATTTGTTGGTTTTGATCTATTGATTTGTTTTCATTTTTTTGTAATCTACATTCAATATATCAATATGTGGTACAGTTACCTGTAAATGTTTTCTGTTTAATATGTTATTTCAAATCTGAGTAATAAATTAAAAAGGTTGATTTTTTTCCTCTTAGGTACAACAGCTTTGGTAGCAATTTTATATAAGAACCAGTTGATTGTTGCAAATGTTGGAGATTCAAGAGGAGTTATTTGTGATAGCAAAGGGAATGCTATTCCTTTATCTTTTGATCATAAACCAGATCAAGTGAGTTATTTTTTTATTTTAAAAAACTAAAACTCTCCTTAAAAAAATCTGAATTATTTTGTTTTTTGTTATATTAAATCTGAGCATGGGTGCAATGAAATCCGAGCATAACAATGAAGTGACAGCTGTAATTTCTACTGATGAAGTTAAGTTTAGTAAATTATAATTTATAAATGCTTTATAAATTATAGTTTTCCCGTCATCATCTTGGAAGAAAAAAAATACCTTTCAAAAGTAATAGTGACAAAATAAGAAATAGGTGATCAAAAGTTTGTTAAATAATTGTTTCTGTTTGTCAATTCAAACGGGTACTTTTGGAAATGTGTTTAAATTTTCCACTGTTTACACGGTTCTTTTATTTAATATAGTAGAAAAATTATTTATTCTTAAAAAGTTTTAAAGTTAAAATCCATAAACTCATTTAATTTTAATATTACATGTCAAATAATCAGAGAAGAATGTGAAAGTCAACTATTGCATTTTTCTTATTTCAATGCCAATTGAAGCCATATCTGACAAAATAATCTAAAAAATTTGAATAGAACAGCTACAACCTAATTGACTACAAAGTTTATAGTTCACAATCTCTCATCACCCTGGCTCCAAATGTTTTGTTGCTGTCGCATATGAAGTTCTACATTTACCATCCTTTTTTTCACTTTAAACTGCAATGGGGTATGCCTATGTCACAGTATTCTATTATGATTTTTGTTACTATAATATACAAACGAATAAAACTGAATGCATAAGCAATTGTCACATGTAAAATCTTGAATAATTTTTGATAATTTTCTATTTTCTCTATCATTAACTATTGTAATATTTTAAGTTAAATAAGAACATGTCTAAAAATGTTAGATAAACAGTTACTTTATCTGATTTAATGATAAATTTTATTTATATATATTATTATTTTTCTTTCTTTTATATTTAGTTGAAAGAAAGACGTCGAATACATTCTGCTGGTGGGTTTATCTCATTCCATGGAGTATGGCGTGTTGCAGGAATTCTTGCTACATCTCGGGCTTTGGGTGACTTCCCTCTTAAAGATAGAAATTTAGTCATTGCTAGACCAGATATTTTAAATTTTGATCTGCAAGATTTAAAACCACAGTTCATGATACTTGCTACTGATGGCTTGTGGGATGCTTTCAGTAATGAAGAATCAGTTGATTATGTGAAAAAAGAATGTAAAAGAGATATTTGCCGAGCAGCTAGAGCTCTGACGAGGCAGGCATTTAAAAGTGGCTCATCAGACAATATAACTGTTTTAGTGGTTGATTTTACCAAGAAAACATGACAGTGTGCTCCTATTTAATTATTGATAGATAATAAATGAGATAAACTATTAAATGTGTGAAATATTAAATTTATCCCTTCTGTAAAATTCTGTTTTTATACAACATAGCAGTTTTTCTGTAAATAAATAAATGTCTCTTTTTAAAGAAGAAAGCTTTTATAATCTTTTCTAAATCAAATCGATAGAATAAAGCTTGTTTCCTTAAATCACTCTGGGTTGTTTTATTGTATTAATTTTTTTTTAAAAATGTTCTGTTTTATGTTTGCATAACTTTGTATATGAACAATATTTTTAAAATTTGAACAAAAACTGCTTATAATTTTCTTAGATCAATGATTTTAAGTGCATTAATTTATAATGTTATGTGATTAGATTGTCATTGTTAAAGAAGTTTACAATTACTCATACTGTAGAGATTATATATATATATATGAAACCTATAGTTCCATTGAAATTAATTTAAAAGTTGTATTGACTTATGAATTAATTTTAATTACTGTTCGTGCTTCAAAAACTTCTTGCAGAATTTAATTTTTTTATTGGCAACTATTAACGAGAAATAAATGGCTATTGTGTGTTAAATGTTTATAAATTTTATTATATTGATCTATTTGTTCTCTTAAATTTATGTGATTTATTCCTCAATGTACACTGCATAAAAGATAAATTATATCAGGGGTCTGTCTAGGTTTTTCTGAAAGGTACCTATTTTGTGAAAATTTAGACATAATTTGTGAAAGTTAAAAATTATGTTAAAAAATCAACACAAAAATATGGATTTAACGTTTCTTACAAGACACAAAAATAAAATTTTAAGAAAAAGTATTTTGTGATTCTACCATTTTTCCTAAAGTTGAATTTGTATAGGTACTGCTAAACGGTAGTAAATTTAGCTTAGACAGACCCCTGTATATGATTTATCTAGTTTAAAATATTTGATTGATTTTGATATCAAGTATTCTATTTTTTAGTTATAATAGAAAAAAATCCTATAACTCTTTTAGCGATGATCAAAGTATTTTAAATGCTACCCCAGTAATGGAGAATATTAGCTAGTATTATAAAATATGCATTGTGCTAAAAGAGGATTCACATGACATTTTAACTTTTGTTGTTTAATAATCTTCTAGATATAATTGGCAGTATTATTTTGGGGGTATTTGCTATAAAGAAATTCTGCATTTTTAATTTTTAGATGTGATCAAAGAATTAAATTCCTAAACATTAAAAATGATTCCTGAGTCATGTGGTAATTTTATAACTTGTGGTTGCTTATTGGTTGTGATAATTGAAATCTGATTATAATATGTTTTAAATTAATTTTAAAATTTTCTTCTCTATTGTATAAGCTTTAATGGCTACACTTTCTTTCAATATTCTGTCAAAAATATTTCTCTATGGATTTTTTTCTTTCTTTTTTCATCTTAATGGGAGTGCACACCAATATTTTTCGATCTTTGATTTTATTCTATTCTCTTGTAATTGTTTGAACTTTCTCAATTTGCTAACTGCTAGTGTCACATCCAACTACGTCAAGTTTTTAAATTAACCTATAAATGTCTTTTTAAAATGTTTCATATATTTAATTATTTATGACGTAATTCATTATCTATGCATTATTTAAAAATTAATGAATTATATCAAATCAGCTTTGCTTATTATCTCAAAACTTAAATGTTTTTACCTTTTCCCTCCATAAAATATTTCCTTTCTTATTAAGAATACTATGTTGTTTTTTAATCACTCAAAATAGAATGTATTATTTTCATGTAATTAATTAAATTCTCAGAAAACTTGCATGACGTAACCCAGAGTTTACACACATTAACTGGAAAATTCTTTTTTTTTTTAATGATCAAAGGAGAAACAATATTTGTTATTATTATTTATGATTATGTAAAAATATGTCATCTTTTGCATATACCAACTTATTTTAATTTCACAATTAAATTGTTTCCTTAATATACTTGTTTTAAAAATGGAATTTAATTACATTCTTAAGCTGTGATGTAGATCAAAAGAAAATGAACAGTATTTTTGAGTATACGAAGAAATTGTAAAAAGAAAATTATACAAGTTTGAAATTGTATGATTTTACTTTTAAGTTATTCAACCCTTTCTGATTATTGTTTATTTGAAGCCGCAATCTTTTTAAGTTTTTTGCAATATTTTTTGAAGCAACAAGATAGGTTTTTTTCACTTTTATAAGTATTGTTTTTAATTTTTTTAACCTCAAGTTTTAATTTTATAAATTTTTTTTTTTACATTAGCCTGATATTTTATCTGCCCACATATTTATTATGTATCAAGTATAATTTTAAACAATGTCAGTTTTTATCAATTTCAATTCATTACTACATAGCTTCCAACATTTACCCTCTTTTAGAAATATTTTTCCGAATGGTAGTAAAATAAAAATTGCTTTGATAACTTTAAGCCAAGAAAATCTGTCAGAACCTAAATCTGTGTTTAATAAATGTCAAACCTTTTGCGTATATATGTTTAAGTTGATAAGATATAATTTTATAAAGATCCATTTTAAATGAAATTTACTAAATCAAAAATAAAATATCAAAGCACTAACTCTGCTCTCCCTTTTAAGTAAAAAAATCTTTGGGAGAAAAACAGAAAAGTTGGCAGCTATGTTTCTGTTGTGAATACAGAATATGTTCATATCTATTCTCAAAATGTTGTACTAAAGTCTATTTCAAGGTTTATATTTAGTAATGTATTTAAAAAAACATATGTATTGCACAAAATTATAATATGAATTTCAATGCATTGTGTGATATCCTTTTACACGTCATCAGAAAGGGTTAAAAATCAGAAGAAAAATGGGCCAAATTGTTATATTGTAGTTATATCATTGATATATTTAATCCTATATCTAATAATTGCAATCACGATTATTTTTTAAGTTTAAGAATATATATTTATTACTAATGTAGAAATTAGTTCTGATTTGACTTTGAATTAGGTATTAGAATGTTTTTTAACTTTTCAAATGATGTTTCTTATGGAACAATAGTTTTAATTAAACTAGCAAATAGTATGGCAGTTCTGATCAGTTTTAGAAAAGCTAAAATTAATTAAATAGTACCCATGGGTGCCACTACAAAAAAGTTTCAAGGCTGAAGTTATTTTTTGTCCAATTGATGCAGTTTTGCATTGTTTACTGGAATTTTCAGAAATTTATAGGTCACCGACGCCAAAATTTTATTCTCTTTGACAATGGCTTACTTATTAAATCAATCAATTGGTTATTTTTTCTTCAAAATAAATATTTTTCTTTATTTTATTAATTTATTTTTTGCAGTAAACAAAACAAAAATAACAGCTAACCTTACATCTTTTTACGCCTTTCACTGGATAATAAATCACAACTTTTTCCTGAAATCATTCATATCTTTTTTTATTTTTACCTCCAGCATTATTTATTTTTGGTCCAAGCACCATATTTTTTTTTATTTTTAAAAAAGAATCTTAATTTAACTTAGGTTAACATAATATGTTAAGGGGGATGCAAAATCAAGGCAAGATTAAGATTCAACTATAATACAAATTTTGTTTACCCAAACAGATGTGAAAGTTCAATCAATCCCATTTGTCATCATACTTTAAAAATAAGATTGACGTAGTGTGACATCATTATTTGGTTATTTCGTAATAATTGTGAAAAATAATGCTTTCATTAAAATGAAATACTTTTTTATTTTTAACAGAAAAATTTAATTTAAAAACATAGGAGTGGCAGATATTCATAGAATTTATTCCAGTGATTTTTCTCAAAACTGATTTCAGACCCCAGGACTGAAGAGTGGCACTCATGAGTATCAATGCTGCGAGCTACTGGACTAGCTCTATACAGTAGAGTCTCGATAATTGGAGGTTGACAAAACCGAGCCTACTTTGAACTTTCAAAAAAAAATTTTAAAAATTCAGAATTTAATTCAAAATATATTATATTTAAAGAAATTTTACTTTATATTAGAACAAACATTAGGTAAATTATACTCTAAAATAATTTTATAATGTTTTTTAAACACACAGCTGCTTTTTCATGCAGCAGTATTGCACCATTGTTGAATATTGTGGGGTGGAGTTACTCGTATTGCATCGCAGACTCTACAGCAGCGAGACCCTGGTTATGACTCTTTCGTTGCATGGAATCTCATTTTTAGAGCATCTGTAAATTTGAATTATTTTTCACTATTTAGCCTATCGTCTATCACTGTCATGACAGTGTTTTTGTAACCTAAATTTTTTTTTATTTGGATGAGCAGAGGCAAATAGTCTTCATCACCACTGTATTTTTTTACATTTTATCCCAAGATTTGCTAATAGTTATTTCTTTCCACGACACTACAAAACGCTCTTCAAAATTTTTTTTTAAAGCTCCTATAATGGGTTTCCTCTTATTTCTTGGCTTTTTGAAGAAATTGTAGCAACCTTTGACAACAATACTTTTTTTTAGATGTTGAGCAGTCCTTGATCTTCTGTATTAAGCTTGCGCAGCCCTTTACCTAGCAAGTATATGTACAAGGTTTCTTTAAAAAAGGAGATTTCTGCAACTGGATTCGAGGATGAGCAATTGAAATAAGACTCTATGAACAATTAAAACCATTTGTAATTGTTGTGGGTACATTATTTAGGAACAAGATAGATTTTTTTTCACTAGCTTAGACTTAAGGAAAACTCTAACAATCAAGACTATACTGTACCTAGAAGTTAATGTTTAGTTCAATAATTTGATTATGAATTTATACTACAAAAGGGTATCACTTCTTCCGATAGATATAGGATTAAATACTTGAAATATTGTGATTATATATGTGATGTATTAGTATTGTTAGTGCAAGAACTTGTTTGAACAAATTAAATTAAAAAGCTATTAAAATAAAACTGTGCCTTAATATTGTAAAAAAAATAGAAAGTTGAACTTTGTTGAGCTTTTTCTGTGATGTGCGACTTAAATACACTGTTTTATTGTTGAATTTTATTCTGTTATTACTTTTCAGTTCCTAAATAAAGTTTACCTGAAAATTATACTTGTTTTTTAATAAAATAATTGTTTGGAATAAATACAAATATCTATTAGTTATTAAAAAAATCAGAAAAAGTATGTGAAATTGCAGATATTAATGTATAAAGTTTCATGACAAGACTTAAATATTCATTCATGAAGTAAGATAAAAAAAAATTTATTAATTTTTGTAATTTTTCAGTAGCATTGTCACTCTACATCAAGCAATGCAGTAAAGATGGAAAAACTATTAGATCAAATGACTAATTCTACTGATATTATCTCAAAAGTTAGCAAATGTAATTAAATTTTTTTTACTTAATTTTATAATTTTTTGTTTATTAATAACTTACGATTTCATTAATTTATCCATATATAAATATTGAAAAAAAGATCAAATCAATTTTAATCAAATTTTATTCATAAACTATACACACAAATCAGATTTTTAAATTAAGAAATACATTATAAAAAAAAACAGTTGAGCACCCTTAATAGTACAAAAGTATAAAATTATGTTAAAAATTTTTTAAATTTATTATGCATAATAATAGTAATAGAAAATTATTATCCAAACAAATGCCAAATTAAAACGAAAATCAACAAGCAAGAAATTTACACATAAAAAATACAAAACTGCAGAAAATTCATTGTTTTAATGAATTACAATATATCGAAATAAAATATTTTATTACAGGACATAAAAATGCAATTCTTGCTGTAATTAAAATAAGCAAAAAAAATATTTTAAATACATTATATACTATACATACCGAAATTTTATACAAAGTTTAAAATTATCAAAAAAATTTACAAATATTTTAAAAATATAAAATTTCACTATTCATAAAACTTTTTGATAATGATAATGTACTCGTACCTAAGGCTTTAAAACTATAGTTGGAGCACTTTTTTAAAACATTTAATATATTTTTTTTTTAATAAAACCATTTTCAATAAAATTCAACAAATAATAAGAGTGAGTAAAAATTATTATATCTTTAAAAAAAACCTGGATTGCTAAGCCATAAATTTTTTTTAATATTTATACAAAAAAATCACTTTTACTCTTAAATAGATTTTAAGTAATGAAAATAATTGATTTGATCATAACTTATAATTTTTGTCGTGATTACTTTTACATAAAAAATGTTAACCATGTTCTAAATTTTATTTCACCACTTTAAATTTAAATATTATAAAAATAAATGTTAATCAACAGTTTCACCTAAAAAAAATACATAAAATATGCATTACTTATTATAATCTTTGCATTGAAAGTTAAATATACTTTACTTTTTAAATAATGAAAATGAATTAGGCATTTTTAATTTATTTTTATTTAAGTATTATAAGTATCATTTTTGAACTATAATTTCTTATAATAGATTTTTTCTAGAAGTTATTTATTTACTTTAACTTACAGAAAACATTCATTATCAAAAGGTTAAGTTTTAAATATTAATATGCAAAATTATTGCTGTTAAAAATAGGGCAACAGGATTTGCCAAAGTCAACGATTTTTTAAATGGGGGAAAAACCCAGGGATTAATAAAATTTCTTTGATAAATAAATATTTATAATTTTTAAGTATAATATATTAAGTAATAGTATTAAAAATGCTCATTATTTGCTTTCGATTCTATAAGGAGTATTTTTAGATGCAGCGTCAAATATATAAGCTAATATATTCCGTATGTAAGGTATTTAAAGTACATGATTTCATTTTTGAGAACAAATTCTTCATGTGTTATAAAGGTATAAAAAAATCTACTTTTATTTTTATTCTTTTTGCTTTTGAAGTAAATGAAAAGATAAAAAGCTTTTAAACTTCTGTTTTTTTCCAAATGATTCCTATATATAAAATTCTCTTTAAATTTAATTTATCATAATTAACATATTCAAAAACCACTCATGAACATACTATGTACTACTAATATCTTCTATTTGCATCTACATTCTTTAATAATTAAATTTCAATCAGATTCTAGAATTAACTTTAAAGAAATTATGTATGTTTTGCAACTTTCTATACTACGTAATATTTTACTGCTCAAACTTTTACAATGAATCATTTCAGTAATTTCTTCATTATGCACTCTTATTATATATTTATAAAGTAAAAATATTTTTAAGTTAATACAGTAACACAATTAAAAAGATAAATTTATAAAACAAGTTTCAAATTGATTCAATAATTACTAAGAAATTCAATCTTAAATATAATTTGATCTTATTTTTAAATAAGGGTAAAAATTAGTAAAATTTTTTATTTTATTTAAGTGGGCTTAGGCCCGTTTTGGAATATACTCATTGGATTTTACAAGACTGGAACAGACATTGGCAAACCCTGTTTAACAGGCTATCATTTCATTTCTTTAGTTACACTATAAGCAAAAAATTCAGTTAAATATGAAGTTACATGAATTGGTGAAAGCTATTATATCAAATATTTATTTATAATAAAATTATTGATATGTAAGAATGGCAACAGAATTCCTCTGGCATAAAAACTAAGCATGAAGGACAGGTGATCAAGACTTAACTTGTTAGTTTTATGAACGAATATGATTTTTTCTTTCTTCCAAAACTGAAATAAGCAGTTTTGGAAATATCTAAATAGAACTATCATAGTGCCATCTTATTAAAATCTAAAAATACAAATTTAAGCAATGATTTAATCTTTTAACAGATACTGATACAAATGTATTTTACCTAAAATAATAAGTATAAATATTTTATAAAGACCAAGAATGTTTATGGCTTATTTTAAATTACATTTAAGTACATAAATGAATGAAACACAAAAATTTATTTGCTATTAATCCTGACTCATAGAAAATATTAATTTTTTCTACGATAAAAATTTACCTGATATAGTTTTAATGTTTTTTTTTTTTAAATTTAGCTAATACATATTAATATTTATATAACGAGCCAAATATTCATCCCCTTTTCAAGACATGCTTAAAACATTTAAAGGCCTCAAAATAAGATATGTTAACAAAATATCATACATAATTTGCTTATACGTGTCACTTATTTTTATATATATATGCCACTTGAGTAAATCACAACCATGTTCAATCAGTATAAAACTTCAATAGAAACATTAATGACTAGAATTACAGATGTGAGAACTTAGATTTTTGTAACTCATTTTATTAGTTTTTGTAAAATTCACTAAATAATTAAATTTTTAAGGTAACAAAAATAAGAAAGCATATTTATTTATAAAAGAATTTACTTAAAAAATAACAAAAATGAAATTTAAAAACGAACATTTGTTAAAATAAAGATAATCATAGCTGTTACTTATCAACCTTTATAGCTAGCTGGAGTCCATACCTTTAATTACTTATTTGTAAATAGCAACAAACTTAGCTGTTAAAAAATATTGTATTTTAGGAACATAAGCAATAAAAAGCTATGAATGGCTTAGTGCTTTCGTATTTAAAACACCACCCATAACATTAGTACATATGCCATGTCAGGTTAGTTATACTAAATTTTAATAAAAAATAAAGAAAACTAAGTATTGCAGAAGTCATTAACTGCTTCGAAGTACAATAATAAACATAAAATAAGTATCTTAAAACATTAATTGAAATTTATTTTAATAAAAGAATAATACATATTTAATTAAAATAATAATAATGTGAGCATTCCATCGAAATCGATCACATTAAAATGCCAAAGCAGCATGACATGAATCAATTAAACCTTTCCTACAAGAAAATTAAATTTTTTTTAAATACAAAAAGAATTATAATTTAATTTTTTTTAAATAGCTGAAAATATTTAATTATCCTTGTCTTTTCAACAACCAATTAATATAATGTAAAAATTAGATTATTTTAAAAAAGGATTGAAATATAAACATGAAGATTAAGGCGGCAATAGCAATTTTTCATTTCTAAAAATTTTTTTTAGAAAAGCTTATTTTGTTACAGTTTAATTCCTAATTAAATCTTAACAAAATTTATAACATATTTTTAAAACATAGCATACAAACATTCTGAAAAATAAACTATTTAATCTTGTTATTATTTTAAGCTTAGTAGATTTATAGAAAAGAAAGCTATGAAGTTATCCAAAATCATTTAAGTGAAATACAAAATTAACATAAGAAAATATGATATACACATTTAGTTAACCCAGAAAAAAAAAGAAATGTTGGAGCAAGTATTGATGAGCACAATAAATTTATTTGCAATATAAACAAGCAGCAAATAAAAAAAATGAGATCAAAATTCTCCTCAACGATAGCACAGTTCTCTTATATAACACTAAGGTGAAAGAATTACTTATTAAAACAAGAAAAGAAAAAATATTTTTACATTCACAGGGATCGAGACATTTTCTAAAATATATATGTATATATAAAATAGTTCTTAAAGTAATAAAAAAAGCACAGAAAATGCACATTCAAACAAAAAGAATACAGTTGTAATAAAAGTACATATCCTCACAGAAACAATTTTTGCTGAGGAGGCAAAGCTCAGTATTTTGTTTTATACAGAATGTGGTGCAAAACAATTCATGATTCAATAAGTTAAAAATGGAGTCCCGATGCTTCACTAAGAATATGAGATGTCCACATGTCCTTTTAAGGCTTCTTTAGCTGCCACAATAAGAGGATGAAGGCTACCAAGTGGTTGAGCAAGTTTCAAAAAAGGATGCTGAAATAATAATAATTATATATAAATACAGTGTGCAAAAAAGGATCACCCTGAATAACTTTTGTTCTAATTATTGGATCTTTATGTTCTTGGACTTAATCTTAATGGTTCAAGGGGGTGACTACTAATATGCTAATTAAACGGTGAAGATGATATTTTAAGTTACGAAATTAGACACACAAACAAACTTTTTCTCAATAAACACACCTTTCTTTTGGCAGATTAAGATTTCTGACCCCTAAAATAGCCGCTAAGTGAAAAATATTGTGCTCATAATTTGATCAAGAGAGCGATCCAAAGTTTGGACCCTTTAATGTCAATTTTTCCTTTTGCATATTTCGTCATATCTCGAGAACTTTTTAAGTGAATCGAAAGGTAATTCCCCGCAATAAATAAGTTTTAGTCAAAATTTATTATTTTTTATTATTTAAATTAATTATGGTTAAAAAAATTTGAGTTGCAAGGCATATAATTTTTTACATCATTTTAAAGTCGGTAATTTTACAAAAGTTGAGCGAAATCAGTCAAATACTACCTGAGAAATCAAATTTCAAAAAAGTCACATATTTAAAATTCGATTTCTCAGGAAGTATTCAAGCGATTTCGCGCAAACTTTACATTTTGCTATGTAAAATTAGCTACTTTAAAATAATGTAAATTTCTTTTGGCTGTTATTAAATAAAATAATAAATATTTACTAAAATTAAATTTTTTTGCATAGTAAATTTATAATTACTGAAATTTATTTTTTTGCATATCTTTGAACAAACAAATTTTATAATGCGGTACAAAATTTTTTCAATTCGCTTAAAAAATTCCCAAGGTATGGTAAAATATGCAAAAAGTAAAATTAACATTAAAAGGTTCAAACTTTGGATCGCTCTCCTGACGCAGTGACCAGATTTACCAAATTGCTGCTACCCCCTATATTTTGGGGGTCAAAAATTCAAATCCATCAAAAAAGCTATGTTTATTCAGAGAAAGTACGTTTTTGCATCTGATTTCGTACCTTAAAATATCGTTTGCTATTATTGATTAGCATATTTTAGGCCACCCCCTCAAACAATGAGGATTGAGTCCTAGAACGTGAAGATCCCATCATTAGATCATAAGTTAGAAACGGTGGTCCGGTTTTTTGGAGCACTGTACATAGATACATATACATGCTGAAATATTATACATATATATAAGGGTGGTAATCGCACAGGGTTTTAAAGAGAGCAAATTAATTTTATTTTACCATCATAATCAGAGAATGAATATCCAAGTGACACACGAATTGAAGTACCCCCAGATAAAAATTAGAGAAAATCTTGCAAAATAAACAGCAAAATATTTCGTTTTAGGGAATAAGAGAAATCTTGATGATTATAATTGGTCTATTAAATAGGTTGAGGGAAAAAGGCTTCTTCATGCTTCAAATAAAAGGAAATATCAAAAATGCTAATGTATAACTGCAAGCCAAAAATAGATTAAAAGACAAGATGGAATATTGAAGTGTGAGAAAGAGCGTTTAGTTTAGAATAATAAATTTTAAAAAAAGAAGAAGACCTAGATATAGTTGAAGCTTTTTATGTTACACACACACACACATATATATATATATATATACAGTGAAACCTCCTGTTATGGACACTCCTGCAAAACGGACGCCTCTCAATACGGACATATTTTTAATTCCCCGGGAATCTTATATGAATAAACCATTACGTACATTCTCCGCAAAGCGGACACTCCCGATACCGGACGCGGACAGTCATTTTGGTCCTGAAACGTTGCTTTTTATCTCTACAAACCGGACACTACTTTTTCTAAATAAATTGCAAGCTAAAAAAAT